GTTAAATCGATTAGATTTTCCCGCCTTTAAAATGGTATATTTTTAAACATTGCATTTGCGCTTAAGCCTGATATGTTTCTCTGAAAGCCACCCTACTTACATCTGACACAAGGATTGTTTTTTGTTAGAGGACTATCATTTTAATGTCGTTTACAAGAGTTGTGGTACCCCCTCCGAATGCGATTTATGGTCTTTCTGAAAAACATAACGAGCAATATTGGGACCTTTTTAACCATACGAGAGTAGTTTATTAATCCTAAAGGTACATGATACTGTTTTCGATCCTATACAAAAAGTGTGTATATGTATGCGTCGTTGAGTTAAACTCTTCGTTAAACCATGCACTGACAACTATTTGTTATCTTACCTTTGTAAAGGCACTTTGTCAAAAAAAATATATATATATATTCGGGAGTTATTTTTTTTTGTTTTTGATTGGTGAAAATGCTCTATTTAGTTTTCTTAGGGTTAAACTGCAGCATTCTGCATTTGATCAAACTTGCTAGTTGAGCCATGTACATGGTGAACTTTACAATTCCGCCCTCCAGTATAGATGTTTCCGTAATTCACGTGTGTAAGTAGTTATGGGAAGTCTTGCAAGGTCGACATATTATTACCATATATGTATATATATATCTAGGAAATACCGAAGAGCCATGAATGAATCCCTGAGGTACTCCATGTTGGCTTATAACTAGGTTTCCGTGTTTCGGAGTTTATTTTTCTTCGGATTTGGGGAGAGAGAGAGAGAGAGCAAATAACTGAAGGTAGTGGAAAAATGGCCAGACTTAAAAACGGCGCCGGCAGCTCCATAACTTGAAATTGAAAAGAAAATAATAATGGTATAACGAGTTAGTATGGAATAACAATATATAACACGAATTTGGTGGTGTTTATCTGGGACGTATTTTTTTTTCTCACGGAGTCGGCGTTTTTCGGTTTCAATTTGTTTTTTTTTTTTTTTCTTCTGCCAGACAAAAAATTGCCGTATATCGGAGCTTATGTCACAGGAGTTGGATTCCTAAACTTCGAGATAACATGCACGTGATACTTGGAAATCGCCTGGGCGCCGATAAAAAAAGTGGTTCCTGACAAAAATAGCAGCCTCAAGAACAGTTCAGTGCGTTTTAGGTGAACTCAAAATGAGCTGGGGTCAAATAATTATTTCTGATAAGCTTGGTTTTCTTATATTCGAGGACAGCTCCGACTCGGGGTGAATTTTTAGGGTTTATCAGTATTTGCAAGAAAACACATAGCCCTACTTAACTTATCGGAGGCAAGCTCATTCAAATACATTGATATTGCCCTTCTAAGTAGCAATCACTTGTAGTGGCGCCACCTTAATAAATAAAATATCGAGCTGTATCACATCGACAATCGTTTGTAATGTCAAAAATAAATCTAGGAGTAAAATGTATCTTCATTGTTCGAGGGCCACAAATACATATAGCACAAAAATAAACTTGCATCGCCGAACGCTCAGTCTCCACCCGGATGTGGTTCTAGCGGTTGGGACCGGATGCCAGTTTTACGTCTAGCCTGATCTAATTTAAAATATTTCAGCTATTTTTGTGCATTTTCAGTTAGAGAATTAAGCGGGTTCTCGGTCGCGTTTGCTACTGATCCCCATATATTCAGGTTCCCTTGATCGCCATTTCCTCATTGAAAATTAAAAAAAAAAAAAAAAAAAAAATCGCTTACAACTTATTTATGAGATAACTATCAGTTCTAAAAATTTGGCATCTGATTCCATGCACTATATTCGGGTGGAAAATGAGCGTACGGCGATGGTCGATTTATTTATCCGCTGAAAAAAAAAAAAAAAAAAAACTTTTTCTTTTGTCTAAAACGCCCGGTATTTTGCCTCTCATGGGCCAACTTCCCGCCACCTGGCGCCACGCCCCGGTCATACCTATCCCCAAGCCCGGCCGAACCCGAGTCGGCTTTTGGACATGCGGCCCATTTCTTTGATTTCGCATGCCGGGAAGCTCATGGAAAGGATGGCGCTGATGGGACTGGAAAGGCACGTTGAAGACAACAACGTCCTCCACTACTGCCAGACCGGCTTCCGTCGGGGACTCAGCACGAGAGACTCGCTCACTCTCCTCGCTGAGGACCTCACGGGTAAGCGCCCACGATACGACGTCAAAATAGCGGTCGCCGTGGGCGTGAAAAAGGCGTTTGATACTGTACCGCATCCAAGCGTCGTAGCCGCTGCGTCCGCGCAGGTCTTACTGGCAAGCCCCTGCAGTACATTCGAGCGTTCCTGGACGGGCGCACCTTTAGTACTTCAATGGACAGGGCCCAAACACCACCAGCTCCTCTCGGGCTGGGGGTCCCACAAGGCGCAGTGCTTTCACCACTACTTTATAACCTAGTGATGGCAGACTTGAGTTACCGCCTCGACGAGATTCCCGGCGTCCGCCGCACAATTTACGCGGACAACATCACAATATGGACGACGGGCGGCCCAATCGGTCCTCAAAGCGATGCGGCCCAGGAAGCCCTGGACGTTGTCCATGGGTTGCTTGCTGGGAGAGGCCTTACCCCTTCACCAGAAAAGACGCAATACGCCATCTATGGCAACACCACCGCATGCCGTAAGGCGGTTTCGTGTATTAAACTAAAGTTTGGGGGCACCGTCCTTGACGCCACCAACGTGCTGCGTGTCCTCGGTGTGGACTTCCCCACGCACGAACCACCTAAGACATGGCTGAGAAAGATCAAAGCCTCCGTCAACCATATGCTCCACCTCATCCGTCGCACTACAGCCAAGGACTGGGGCGCCGACACCCAGGCACTACGCATGCTGGTTCGAAGTCTGATCCAGGCCAAAATAATCTACGGTGCCCAACACGTGGGTCTCACCAACTTGAAGCCCTTGAGATTCTAAATCAGCGTGTCATGCACATAGTCAGGGCCTTCCGAACTTTACGCCGATTGACACGCTACAAGCTCATGCAGGCCTCCACACTATTGGCGACCTGCTACCCGAGGCGCGCCTTGGGCAGCACCTTCGCCTCTCAAGGTCCAGACCGGGCCGCTCCATTCTCAGGCTGCTCGACCTGTGGCCCGTTTAAGGGGTTCCCCACCCACCACACCCCCGCCACCGTGGAGCCTGTCGCACCTGGCCTTCTGCAAGCCAACACCATCCCGCGCAGGAGCCGGCCATCCCGGTCGACGTAGATTCCAAGCCGCGAACACGCAGCTAACGCCGACGGACCTCAAGTGCGTCGATACTATACTCTGATGCGGCTACGGACCCAGAGTCCGGCTCCACTGCGGCCGCTGCCTGCCTGCCTGGCCTTATGTTCAACCTCCAGTATTCGGCTCCCGCCAGGGCTTGACTCCCTTGAGGCTGAGCTCCGGGCGCTTCTCCTGTGAGTGGAACTGGCGCTCCGTGACACCACCACTGGAGGGCTCACGCCCACAGAAATTTTCTTGCACCCCGACTCCACGGAAGCTGTCAGCGCATGCCATTCATCGGCATCCCCTTGATCTCCAACAGTTTCCTACATCCGCGCGGCCGTGGCGGGGCTGGAGTTGATTCTAAGGCCTACTGTAAAGATTAAGGTTCTCTGGGTTCCGGGCCACGCGGGTATCCAGAGCAACGAAGCAGCACACCGGCTGGCAAGGGCGTCCTTGTCTTACCCCTAGGCCGGTCAGCCGCTGCTACGCCTTTTGGATGATACAACATCCGGATCAGACACAAATACTGACACCTCACCACTACCGCACCCCCGCACCAAGGCCAGGCGGCGCCTGTCCACCCGGTTACCTGAGTGCGCGGTCCCAATTCCACGGGGATATCAGCGGGCGGCTGAGGTCCGACTTCGTCGTATCGCGACCGGTTGCGCTTGGACACCACACCGCCTCGCCCGCATTGAACTACGTTCCCCGGAACATGCCGGTTCTGACCGTTGCTGTATCAGCCCCACTTTCTTCAGACCGAGGCCGACCGGACCGTAAGCCTCACCCCCGATGCAGCCTCTAACGACCATCCTTCAGCGCCTCTCGCCACCCTGCATCACCTGCTGCGACAGTGCTCAGCAAGACGACAGGAGAGGGAGGCTGCCCTAGCCAAGCTGAGCCCAGCGAGTCGATCCCAAACGCTCGAGGCTTAGACGACACCAACAGGCCCCAATGAAGCAAGGAAGCTTGTCTTCGACTCGCTGTTGGCTTACATCAGAACGGCTGGTGTAGCCGGCCTCATATGATTCTTCATCCTCCTCCCCTCCCCCATATCCCTCTCCCTTTCCCCTTCGCGGCAAGGCATGCAACCGGCCGCGTCGTACCCTCCTATACCTAAATAAGTTTTGAACAACAACAACCTTTCTTTGTAGAGACATGCATGTTCAGTGAATTTATGCCTTTAAAATTGATATAGGGTCTTGTTCGTAATAATTTATTTACGAAACAACTATTACAAATTATTATTGATTAGAACTACATCTTTTTAAGAGAAAATTGGCACCACAAATCAATACTGGCTCACGTGTCGCCCCGGCACTCTCGGATACCTTTGTCTGCGGAAAATAAGTTTGGAGATCATAAATCATGATTCTGAAGAAGACGACCCAGGCGTTTCACGAAAGGTCAGCGGGCTCTTGGCTCTTTCTGACCGAAATAGGTAGATAAATAGAAAAATAAATATAAAGGGAGAGAGCTTTGGGCCATAGGTAGTACCAGCGAGTATGCTAAAATAAATCTTGAGAAAAAGTAGCTGGAGGAAAAAAAAACTAAAGGAAATTTTTTTGAGTCTCGTAATCTCCTAACAGGCCAAGAAAGCAATTTAGTACTTTCTCCAAACCTGGAAGCGTCAGAACGGCACGTGTCAGCGTCCACGGGCGAGCTGTATCAGGCCCGGGGCGTCGCAGTAGCACCGGGGTCAAACGAAGCCTTCGTAATTTCAGCCATTTCCTTTTGGCCTGATTGTCTTGGTCGGAAACTTTTCTGCGTGGGCGCCATCCGCGCGCGCGCGCGTAACCGGCTCAACCGGCAATATCAGCGAAAGTGCGGTTTCTGCCGACTTCAGCGCTGGCCCGTGCGGGTCCGGGGCGCGCGGCAGCAATCTCAGCCAGGTCGGGTGTCGTCCACGGGGCCCTTGTTTTGAACGGCCCACGACACGCGTAGCCTCGTCGACGCTTTCGCAGTGCGCGATTCCGTTACGGCGACGTGGACTCACGGCACCCGCAAGCGACGGTCACCAGCGCGCGAGCCTGCTGCCCCGCGCTCCACCATGAGGTAAAGGCTCCGTCTTCTGCTCGCTTCACGCCCCTCTCTCGAGGGAAAAGGGAGTTTAGACTACGCTGTTTTTCCCCGTACCATCCCCAATACTTCATCTAAAAAAATTGTGTGCAATGACGTCGAAGACGCGCTACAACGTGCTTTGTCCGCCCTCTGATTTAGTAAAAGAAAGCGCATTCTAAAACCAGTACGTCTCCTTTTTTTTCCCCCGCAACGCCGTAAGGCCGTAGCGCCGTATGCTTCACGTAAATTCAGACCTGCCAGCGTGGAGCAAGGATTAGGCAGAACTGCTGCGTCAACGTTGGGCTGGAACTCGTATTCCCACTGATATAACACAATTCCCAGCAGAATGCTGACGCGGCAATTTGATCCAACCAGCGGCGCGCGCTGGCCGCTCGCCAGTGACGTAGAAATTCAGCACCACGGTCTTGCAATGAAGAAGGTACTGACTAGTGCTGAAAGCACGGGTACGATGGAGCATAGCATCTAGGGATGTTCCTAGACTAGCCTCGTCCCCAGCCACGTAATTCACATATGCGGGATAAGAAGAAGAGAAGCAAGACGTTACAAACCAGGAACAAGTAAAAACATACGGAATTATTGGAAATTGCGTTTAAGCGTGAATATCTACCTGCGTCGTGGCGAAGCAAAACAATGTTTTCCCACGTGTCGTATGTTCCGGTCTTCAAAATAGCGGTGTCCTCGTCAAAAAGATCTCTTCTTGCGAGGCCACCTTCTTGAGTCGATTCAAAAGTCGAGTGGGCGTTTCATATTTTTGTTCAACGCAGAAATTGTGCGAACTTAACGACAGTATACCTTTGATTTTGCCCAGTTTTGTGGCACCTAGCGACGGTGCTAAGGGACCACTGAGTGCTTATTTGAAAAAAGTTGTCGTTGCAGTTTCTTAACCGCGCGGTTCTATTTAGAATGCCTGAATGCTGTTTCCCGAAAGCGTCTTACGAAAGATTGAATAGAAACATGTTTCCCAACCCCTTTTTAACGAGCTGTTTATAGGGCATTGCCAGAATAGGATGTACTTCGTCGCGCAAAGGAAATGTTAATCCAGTCTACAATAGCTTCTTTTGATTCACCGGCACCCCTGCACCGGTGCAGAAAAGTGTAGGGCAGTGTACTTCCGGTATCTGTATGGAGATATGACCGGAAGTACACTTTTCTGCACCGGAGCAGGAGGTGTAAGTCTCATACGTGGGCTAGTACGTGGGCGATGTGTACCGAGGAGGGGGAAATGTAGAGGAGGAGAGAGATGCCGGAAGTCACGTGGCTACACCCGATCACGTTTTGTTTTATTTGTTTTCCGATTTTTTTTGGCGTGTGAAGCAGACGACGACGACTAAGTTACCCGCACCGTCTGTTTTGTGATTCTGTCGCACTTCTATCCCTTCCGCTCGATGCTCTGCGCGCGAAGATCGATTGTCCGGTACCCTTAAAGGGATACTTCAACGAAATTTGAAATATTCCCGTCGTGTTCAAAAATAGGTTGAATATGATCCACAATATCCGTAAATGACAATCGCACGTTTGTATTTTGATCATGGTGGCTGTATTTTTCATTATAAATGGCCCACTCTGGCAAACGCTCGGAGAAGGTCCAGCTTAGAGCACGTGACATCCAACGCAATCGTGACGTAGGTCGTCTCAAGACGAGCAAAGCTACGGCGAGGCTGACGTCGAGGGGATGGCCTAGTCGTTCCAGCCACCGAAGCGGCTGCTTTTGTACGAATTTTGAGTGACGGGTTAATCTTCTATAATCTTCTACGGGGACAATAGCGACGTCTGCGACACACAAAAGGGATTCTCGGGAAGAGGGGAGTTCCTCCTTCCCCCCTTCTCTGGTCGTGGCCAGAGACGAGACAACGTCCGTCACTAGCTGTCAAGGTTCCTAGACGAGCATTGCAAAAGAGGCGTTAGCGACATCCCCCAGGTGCTCTTTGCTAATCGTTTAATTCGTTTTAAAATTCCTTTTCGAGACTTTTTTAACAAGATATTGGTATGTTCCATGTGATACTGCTCTTTTGAACACATATAGGCCAAAAAATGAGCGCCGAAATTTCGTTGTAGTATCCCTTTAAAGGGCAACTCCGCTCAATTCCGAAAAATTTAGGCTTACATGTGATTCCATTTCACAAAGCAATACTAAACAGCTCTACGTCTTCGGATTCGCGAAATGTGGAATAATAGTTGTGTATCCTAATTTAAACATCAGCTGATACCGAAACCGAAACTTCGGTTGCGTCAGGAAACATCGGTCTCGTGTCGTCAGAGTCATGGCCACGTCACGTCGAACCACGTGGTCTTGTGACGTTCGGGGGGGGGGGGGGGGGGGGGGGGGGGCGAGGGACAGGACACGCGACGCGGACAGGTCGCTTCGCATGGCGTGGACGGTGATGGCCCGGGGGAGAGGGGGAACGGGAGAAGGCGAAAGAGGAGAAGGGGAGCGGAGAAACAGACCGATAAGCGCGCAGGGCAGCGCAAACTAGCGCATCCGCGTTACGGTGATCACGTGGACGCCATTCATCCAACACCTGGAGGAGAAACTCATGACGTCATCGTTCAATTTCGCCCTGAGAAGTAAAAACAAGCAAAACGTGAGAATGACGTAGTCATGCCTTTGGCGTAGTGGTTCAACGTTGGCCTCTCCAACTCCGTCGCATTGACTGCGCTGACGATTGCGCCTCACGTCGCACGCTAGAGTTGGCAGATTTCGGCGACTTGGCTCACTTGAAGGTTTGCTGGCCAGTTTATTAAATATATAGACGGAATTAGATCGTAAAATTTGACATGGGGTCTTCCTATATGATACTGAAGAGGGCTACATAGTCCTATTTGATACTGAAGAGGGCTACATAGCCCCACGTCCGTCGCATCGTCAGTCCGTTGTGCGCGGCCATCGCATCGTCCAGCCCGCGGTACGTCGCCACATTGAGAATGACGTGTACATGTACTTCCTGTGAGCTGTGCAACACTTTTTATTAACGCATTTGCTGCTTTATGGAGGCAACAAAACCGGGGTTCATATTCTTTTTTATTTTTAATATTGAATGTATGCCTTAGATGACCCAGCAATTTGAATATACTTGGTATATACAATTCGAACGCCACGTGACAATGAAAATAGGGGTGCGCGCGACTGAAACTGACCAATTCTCGACCGGCTGTTTTTGGGACGGAAAGAAAACGAATTTTGAGCTGCAAATTGTGTTCTGGGTAGTTGGGGTCATATAGGTCATCTTCAAATAAAAACCTCAGCAAGCATAAATACCCCGTCATTATCACTTTAAACGCACACGAGATACGTTTCCTGCGTGTTGCCCCAACCGTATAATTTACTTATGGTCATTGGCTTACGCCCAGGGATGGGCAGTATTTAAAATACATGTATTTGAAATACGTATTTCAGATACTTTGTGTATTTTGCATTTGTATTTAATTACAAATTGGGTAATGTATTTGACGCGTGTATTTAAATACTAAAACTTAGGTATTTGAAATACAATTGTAATTAAACAGAATTTTGTGGGCGAAAATACATCCCTCAACTTTATTGTCACTGTCCAGAGCAGGAAGAAAACTACATTCTGCACCGAATGCAGTGTCTCTCAATCAAGCACAAGCGTTTAGTGACTTAGTGATTACGGTGCTAGTTCAGGGCAAGAATAGTGACGAAATCGACGTTTACAGGCAGACTGGCTGAATAAGTGCCTATGACAACTTGTGATGCTTTCCAGCCTGATTTCCATCCATATTTTTGCCTGGAACTTTTTAAATGCGCGGGTCGTCCAGATTTTCGTGACTGGTGCGAGTTGCAACAATAAAAAATTCTCTAGCTAGTGCTGCGCGTCTTCGTCGTCTCGGCTCTTTGTTGGTCTATACCAAAATGTAATCGACAAAAAAAAGCTGCTTGAAGCTCTGTACTTTTTTCACCTATTACGTTCATGCTGATTACATTTTTTTTTGTGATTATATTTCTATTACGTTGCTAGAGCCTCGCACACTAACTCCCGAGTGTGGAATGCAAAATTAAAATGAGATACACAGAAACCCGTTGCAGGTGTCCTGAAGTCGCTGACGCAAATTTTGAGGAATGTATTTGGAAAAGTATTTGGAGGAGACCAAATACATTTGGTTGTATTTGTATCTTGTACTTAAATGCTTTTTTTGGAAACGTAATTAGATTTGTAATTAAATACATTTTTGACGAAGTATTTTGTATTTGTATTTCGATACATATTTGCATGTATTTTGCCCATCCCTGGCTTACGCAGTATGTGGACGAGCCGGATGACAGTGCAGAATACTGATTTAGGTGCCCGTCCTGCGTGCCATTATTGTTCTCAGAGGAGTAGTCAAATTAGAGAAGTACTGTTAAAGGTTTTGGGAGATGGTCCTGAGGAAATGCCGGTCCTAGACGGACTGGTAATATTAAGATCCTTTTAGTTAGTTTGCGTCTAGCGTAATCCAACTTACCCGTTTTCGAAAGTGTATTTCAAAGTGCATCTTTTGTAAATAAAAAGCGTCTGGCAACAACAAAAAAAAAGAAAGAAGAAAAACCCGTAAGCGCAGTGACTGTGCGTTGGGTTCATAGCCTCGGCGTCCTTGGATCGATTCTTTTTGGGGAACTTCTACTGTTTTTGTTGTCCTCTCCATTTCTCCACTTGCCGTTCTTGCGCGCATGTGCACTTGTTTTGTGCTACAGAGCCGAATTTTCCCAGGCTACCGAAAAAAAAGAAAGACGTTTACAACATCCTGTAACGCCGAATTAGAGCGCAGCTCTTGAGGAGGAGGAGGGAAGGGCACTGAGGGGAGGGTATACCCCTCCTCCCTCTTCCTCCCTCCTCCTCCCCTCATCCCGCAAGCTTCTCCCCTCCTCCTCCTCCTCGCTCCTCTTTCCTTTTTGCTCTTCCCCCTCCTCCTCCTCCTCTTCCCTCCTCTCCCCTCCACCTCGTCTTCCTGTTCCTCCCCGCGCGTTGCATCATGGGAAATGTCCCGTAATTCACCACGCGGGACAGTGGTGACATCACCCGTGACGTCACGAGTGACGTGACGAGGGTCCCGCGCGGTGCATTATGAGACATTTCCCATAATGCACCGCGCGGTTACGGCGTCGCCGAGGGCGACGCCACTCAAGCCGGAAACGGGCGCCTGAGAGCTGCGGTCTAAAATTGCTATCGCATTTAAAAATGCAGTAAATCATATTATTCACCCTGCACAACAAATTCCAGTATATATATGCGCTCTAACGCGTTCAGAAACGCGGAGGCCGCGTTTCTAAACGCGTTTCTGAATTTGTAATGAATTGGTACTCCTCTTGCTGGCAGAAAGGCGAAAACTCGTACCTTAGTCTCATTGTTTTTAATTAATCTAAAAGTTTTATTGCAGTCAACAAACTATGCATAAAATATTCAACGTGCGTGTTTCCTCGTACAGTCTGCCATCTGGAAGTCCGTGAACACAAACATAAAATGAACACATTTAAGTATGCTTTTTTGCACCGATTAGAACAACTTTCCTACCTAAACTGTCTCTCTTTATTACTTCCACCTCTTTTCCTCCAACGCCACCAAATTTATTTTTGAAATAATTCCTGCGCTTACTATTATGATTGTCGACTTCAATCTTATTTTTACTGTTTTTACAAAATACTCTGTTGCCATTCTGACCTCCATTATATTTATTTTGTTTTTTTGTGAATTCCAATGCTTCACCTAATGTTTGATTAAGTTCCACGTATTGTATATTACCTTTTAGAGCGCAGCTCTTAGGCGCCCGTTTCCGGCTTGAGCGGCGTCGCCGTCGCCGTCGCCGTCACCGTAACCGCGCGGTGCATTATGGAAAATGTCCCATAACGCAACGCGCGGGACTCGAGACGTCACGAGGGTCACGAGGGTCACGTGACGTCATGAGGGTCACGTGACCTCACGTTACGCGTTGCGTTATGAAAAACGTCCCATGATGCAACGCGCGGGGAGGAGGGGGACGAGGAGGAAGGGGAGGGGAGGAGGGAGGAGGGGGATAGAGTTTGAGGAGGAGGAGGAGAGAAGGAAAGGACGGGAAGAGGGGAGGAGGAGGGATGAGGAGGAGGAGAGGAGGGAGGAAGAGGAAAGGAGGAGGGATGAGAAGAGGGTACGGATGAGGAGGATGGGGCATACGTTCCCCTCAGAACCCTGCCCTCCTCTTTCTTAAGAGCTGCGCTCTATTGGGCGTTACAGGAAGTTGTAAACGTCTTTCATTTTTTTTGTAATGTGTGCTCCTACAATATTGCCCTACAAGGGCGGTTAAGTATTGTAAACATAAATTAATAAAAGAAGAAATAAGGACGTGAATAAAGATGAATGAATGAATGAATGAGTGGTGGCTCAATTGATAGCTTGGGCTTATTCCTCAAGGAAATAATAAGTGGCTTGAACTGTGCGTGAAAAAGGACTGCCACAAACAGGCTAAAGGCTCGGAAGTTTGAAACATCTACTTAGAAAGATATCAACGATTACACCATTGGAAAAGGCAAGCATGGCGGGTCACAATGGTTTTTGTTTTCGCGTGGAAGAGATGGAGAATAAATTAGGGAATGAGAAAGCAGAAGCTGGTGAGACCGAGTGTCTTTGTTGAAATTAAAACTTCATAAATCATCAAATAACTCGAGAGTCTTGTAAAGAATTGTGACAAGTATATAATGTCCACAGTAAGGTCGAGTCCTCCTCTCATAATCCACAGTTAGGCATTATTAGAAAAAAAGGTTGAGGTACCTTATCTCTCTCTCGGACAGTGAAATTGATGGTGTGCAAATGCATGTGGCTCCTATTTCTATTATAGCTTTTGCCTCAAAAATTTCTCTGGCTCTCTTGCTCCGAAAGCGTTTGAGGACTTTTGCTTGATTAAAAATAGGAGTGCATTTACTGTCTCTGACATATTTGGCAAGGTGCACTGAGGGTGGCGAATGTAGGGAAAGGTCATGCTCTCGTAGTCGTACATTTACGCAGCGCCCAGATTGACCAACGTACACTCTGCGATATGGGCACGGAATTTCGTATAGACGCTTTACACACGGGCAAAATTACAGCCGCCATTGCTGACCTTCTCTTGTCTTTCCCATATGCCAAGCCACTGAAGCGAGCGTTGACAAGCCTCCACGGAGGCCAATGCTGTGGAGAAGGACGCAGTATAACCTAAAATAGCAATCACCTGCCCTGCTGTAGTTATGATGAAGTGAAGTAAAGTCCATAAGAAGAAACAAAAACTGAAGGTCGGTTATAGCGGCGCCCACGCACAGCTGCTGCAAAGCGTCTATACGATGTTGACGTTGCAGTCGACATATCTATGTGCGTGCTGGACTGTGCATTTTTCTTGTCGTTCGTTCTGGGAGTTGATTTTCGGACACATTATTTTAAGTATTTCAGGAGCTGATGTTAGAACCTCTATGTCATATTTAGGCGCAATTCGTTTCAAGTTGCGTGATACTTTGTGCTGATAGGATATCACTGCCGGTCGGCGTGTCTTATCTCTTCTTCTTCTTTCATTCTGAGTGGTCAGGCTCTCTGATACATTGAACATTAAAGAATTGGTATATCCAGATTCATGTAGTTTTTGAATTTGTACCTCAAAACTCTGCTTGGCTGTGTGCTCGCATAATTTTCGCGATGCTGCTATTAAGCAGCTCTTTACAATTCATCTCTAGATTATTCTAAATTGCGTCCAATCAAATGAAAGAAGTGATTTTTTGGACCGTGGTTTGTTGGTCCGACATGTATAGTTGTCTTCAAAGGACAGCTGAAGATCTAGGAATTGAAGCTTGCTGTCATCCGGTAGTTCGTGGGTAAACTTTAGTCCCTGAGATTGAGGAAGGAACGTGGTGCAAATTTTGTTTACGGTTGAGTCCTTCTGTTCACGTCGTTCATGCAGCAGGACAAGATAGTCATCAACATATCTGAACACACGTGATACCTGGCTTGCTGGAAGCCTCTGGGCTATGTTCTTGTCACATTGGGCTAATAAGATGTTACACACAACTGGTGCTGCGCATGAGCCTATGCATATTCCTTTATTTTGGATAAATGCGTTGTTGTTGAACGTTCTAAGGTGGAGGTATTCTTGGAGCTTCAGAAGCTCCAGGAATGACTCCACGGAAATACCACACTGAGTTTGAAAGGGCACAGTTCCGTGTCTCGATGCATGCACTGGCGACCGCGAACATTTCTTTGTGGGCGACTCTGTAAAACAAGTCTGCAACGTCAAAAGAAAGCCCAAACCTGACTGTCGTGCCATTTCGTTTAAGGTGTTCTATCAATGTCTGTGAGTTTGAAATAAAAAAAATGAAAGGCCGTTTACAACTCCCTGTAACGCCGGATTAGAGCGCAGCTCTTGAGGAGGAGGAGGGGAAGGGTACTGAGGGGAAGGTATATCCTTCCTCCCTCCTCCTCACCTCCTCATCCTATATGCTACTCCTCCCTCCGAGCGGCGTCGCCGTCGTCTCGCGAGGGTCACGTGACCTCACGGGCATGTGACCCCTATGAGGTCACGTGACGATGACGATGACGTCATCAGGGACGATGACGATGCGGATGCCGATGGCGTCATCAGTCACGTCATTGATGACGTCATCAGTGACGATGACGATGCCGATGACGTCATCAGTGATGTCACCGATGACGTCATCAGGGACGGTGACAATGCGGATACCGATGACGGCATCAGTGACGTCACTGATGACGTCATCAGTGGCGACGACGATGCCGGTGACGTCTACAGTGACGTCACGCGTCCCATAATGCACCGCGTGGTTACGCCGAAGGCGACGGCGACGGCGACGTCGACGCTGCTCAAGCCGGAAACGGGCGCCTAAAAGCTGCGCTCTAAAATGTTAGACTACGAACCACAGCGTTTCTTTCCAGAATCCCGGACACATTGTTGCTGGGCGTTCTGGCCTTCCTGGTTGGTGTGTCTGCAGACATCACGGTCAGTAAAGACCTGGAAAGCGTTGGTAACCTTGCCGGTGAGTTGGATGAGAAACGTCACAATAACCGCAGGAGGAAGAGGGACTTTCATTCGCTCTTTCTACCATTGGTGGTGTCTTATGAAGACGGAGCGAGCTTGACCATGTTTAGAAGTGCCGGCCCAGCTGTGCTACGTCGCGCGTCAAGCTGGACGTTCCAAATGTTGCAAATATTAAATCCGAGCGGACTACGCTCTCAACACCGTTGGCCGATTGTAAGATGGGAGGGGCGTCTGATTTAAGACACCCTAGATTATTCACTTAGTGACCGGAAGGGGTAGGTGTTGAGACTATGCCCGGGCAAAATATGAAAAAAAACACGCAAAAGTATTTTCTACCAGAAAAAAAAAAAAAAGAAAAAGCGAAAGACTAGCATAAAGGCATGACTGATATCTACGAAAAAAAAAGAAGAGCCACGTCGTTCGCAAAGTAACATCTGCCCTGTTGCAAACTTTTTTAGCGCCGGTAATAAATCAACTTCAAATATCAAGTCTCTTTTTCAGATGCAGTATTCTTTATTAGTGACGTACCGATCGGCAGGCGCAAAAAAAAGTTGTTTTAAAAAGAAGCATGCCTATATTACACTCAAAGAAACACGGAAAAGAAAGTACGAAAATAATGCAAAAAGGACATCACCTCAGAAAAAAAAAAAAGAAAAAAAACTTCAAAGTTTATTTGAACACAAAAGACAGTGTTTGCTTGAACTTTGCTCTTGTGCATTGAGTTCTTCGATACATTTTGAGTGTACTCATACTACAAAAATTTGTTGTATCAGTGCACTCAGACACCACAGCGTCTGTTGGGACGAAGTCAATAAACCCGTCGTTTTATCTTTGCACTGCGAAAACTTCTCATCTTGTACAAATAAGCTGAAACGGAAGCAGTCTTTTAGTCACAAATTTCACATATTGATTCCGTAATAGGTGTTATTCAAACTATATATCCCTAGATATTTTACAAAATTATCGTGTGGCAGTGGTTTACAATCACAACTGTTACACGGAGTCGAATGACATAAAATTCTTGGCGACAATGCAACACGTTTGTGAGCATTTCGGTAACAAAGTAGCTTAACTTTGGAAAACATTGCTAAAATGACATTTCAATTAAACCAACCGATTAGCCTAATAATATTTCTTTAAAACACTGAAACAGCATCATCGTAGTTTTAAGTGTGTAAACCTAGCACCGTTTCATCAGCTAATACTGAAATAGCTTAGCCTTCAGCGGCAAAATACCTAAATCATTTGTATAAACATTAATTAAACTTGGCCCCAGAGTTCTGCCTTGTGGCACACCACATTTGACTTCAGCTGAACTGCTTATATTATTAATGCTTTTAACCATTTGCAGTCTGTCGGCAAAGTGGTTCTGAAAAAAGTTATAAAACTATCCACTGACATATGATCTGTAAAGTTTTTCTAGTAACAAAGAATGTTCAATGGTATCGAAAATCTTCGATAGACCTATAAAAGAGGTAGGGCTATCTTATTGTTGTCTAGTGCTTCGTTTATGCAGACAGAAAGTCTTCTAGAAGTGTGATGGTACTATCGGGGAAAAATGAAATGCGAACAGAGGAGCGCGTGGCTCGCGGTACATAGTGCGCCGCCTGGAAGTGAGCCGAGGAGCGAGGGTGCGTGGCCTACTGCGACGTGTTCACGTCCCTCCCTCTGCGCTCCCCAAGCTTCAGCAGAGCGCCTCTTAGTGCGCTGAAGGCTATCACCGCTATCTTTGCTGGCTCAGCGCGTGCGGTGCAAAGAAGCTCGCCGCACTCGCCGAGGACGCAAAAGATAGCGGTGGCAGCTTTCAGCGCACCGAGAGGCGCACTGCCGAAGCTGGGGGAGCGCCAATAGAGGGGCGTGAACACATCGAAGTAGGCCACGCACCCTCGCACCTAGGTTCACTTCCAGGCGGCGCAGCCTGTACCGCGAGCCACGGGCTCCTCTGTTCGCATTTCATTTTTCCCCGATAGTACTTCTTTGGCTGTCAAAAAACATATCGCGCACTGGTAAATACAGTAAATGTATTACAAAAACTGGTCATTGTAATTTCCACTCAGCATTTGATTATGTGAGCTAAAGCAGGTAGAATATAAATTGGTCTGTAGCTCTCTAAATCGTGTTTTTATAGCCTTTTTACGCAGTGGACTTGTATCTTCAAGCCCTTGGAAATATTTCCAGTGTGAAAGGTTTCATTAATATTTTTCAGTAAAACGTGCTTCAATTTATCAGAGTTATCAAATCCTGGTGATTTAGTTATCGACATATAATTTATAATACTCAAAAGGTCCGTTTTTGTGATTTAAGGTAAGTATGCCAAATTAGAGCAGTTGATCTGTAGAGTAACAGGTTTGGGACCAATCAGTGAAATGTTATTTTTTTACACTGTTTACAGAGTCAACAAATCAATTTTTCTGAAATATTATGAAAACGCTCTATGAGGACTTGACCTAGGAACATTTTTCTGAATTGTATCACCCACACTATTTTTAGGTTTTTTCTTAATTAATTGGTTTACTAGGTTCCTTATCTTTTTCTAATTTTTTTGGAAAGTGAACTGATTTATATAATGTTTATTTTTTTAAACGTACTTTTGATGTCACTTTATTGCACTTTGCACGAAATTTATTTCTTAGTTGTGTGTTCTTGGTTGACCAGTGTAAAAAACCACTATTTTTAAGTTTTATTGCGCGCATATTTGTATTCCTGTACGTTCGGTAACGTTAGGAGGGGCTAGTTTCAAATTCAAGATTCAAGTCAAATGTGCTGTCTGCCTTAAAGGTGTACTCCGCCGATTTCTTCATGGTCCCCGATTTGCTTTAAATTTTGCTAAACTCGCCAAACAACATCGCCAAAATAGTATCCCAAATATTAGGTCAAAATAATTTTTTTTCACGAAGTTATTGAATTTACAATTTTGGTCCTCACCGTGTTTTTCAAACTGAAAGTCTCTACTGGCAACAATGAAAAAGTGACGTCATTGGAAGTGCAGGGGTTCACTCTTTGGACTGTAGAATTTGTTCCCAACTGATTTGAAGCAGTTTCATGGTGTCAAATGAATGCCTTGGAAGCTCGCTCCAGTCCCCGCGCTCCAGCACGGAACAAATAATTGGCATATTCTATTTTTTAGACTACTCGCCCGACTGGCAAGCTGAACTTCCACTGACGTCACGGCCCTGAAAAGGGCGGGTATATTTGAATGTCTGTTTTTGCATCATTTTCATTTGCCGATTTCGCAATAACTATTATGAATTTCACGATATTAAATAGCATTCCAGAAAGGGTAAAGGCTTGGGAGTCAGAAAATATAGTTAGTTGAGGTAGCTCAAAAATCGGCGGAGTACACCTTTAACGCTTATATGTTTCATGTGGGGGATCCATGTCAAACCGCTTGCAATATAAACGCCGGGTAATATACAAGGCGTAATAATAATGTTTTGTGTATGTTTATATAGCCGGAAGTCATAGTCAGCCTCAACGGGCGTATGGTGTCTCAGCTATACATGAGAAATTTAGCAAGTACAGTAGAACCGGTACCTGGGGTCTTCAACGTGCACTACGAGATACACGACCGCACGCCGGTACGATGCTCATTCAGATCTTTATAAGGCATGGACGTGCTGAGGATGATAGCGTTGACACTGTAGGCCTAAGATGACGGCGACGAAAGGCGAAAAATCCAAGGACCTTGAATTTTTCATATGAAGTCTTTTTTCCTATTATATTTAAGATTTTTGGCTGCAGTTGAAGCCGTTTCACCACGCCATATGCAGAACGGTTGTTGGTCATTGTACGAAGGTGGCGAGAACCTAAGTTAAGTAGTGGAATAACGCAGTTTGAGAATGTCGATTTCGGTTCGTTGGACTTCCAAAGCGACTGATCCACACGTCAACAAGAGTCGCCTCGACTGTTTTGCCTTAATGTCTGGAAAGGGTGCTCTTTCTGGTCAACAAGTGTAGCGGTGGGCAGATGTGCGAATTGGTAAAAACTTGAGATGTAGGCCGAGAGTCCGTAATGTCAATGTGCACGGGATCAAAACGGGCGCTTGGGGTGCAAAAGGGCGTCGGCAGTGTGTTTGCATGGTATGAGATTTTATATCGCTGGCTGGAAAGACAGTTCTTCGTCCAATCATGAACGTCAGCTTCATTCGTGGCCACGTTTAGAACACACATAGCCCGGATGCTTGGGTGGCTGAAGCTGGAACTTTCAAAATGCTTTTCACTTCAATTGGGAGGAAAATTCGTACGGTTTGCTTTTATCCACATGTCGCAGATGACTGCAGATCGAGATTGTAAGAAAAGTGCTTCCTCCAGTTGCTAACACGTTTGGGTTACAGCCAGCGTCTCCAGGTCGATAACATAAAGCGCCAAGGACATCGCCCCGAAATATCAGTCGCTGTATTTTCTGGCTCTCTGGTATAATGAATTTGTGGGGATTTGCGAAGACTAGTCTTGCTAACACTGCCATTCACAGATGGCGCCCTATATTCGCAAACCTGCTAGGCATGATGTACCCATCTGATGAAGCGTTCACTGACTTGAAGGGTTTCTCTCAAAGGGACTTTCAAGTTTTGGCTTCATATAATGATTTTCTGCTCGAAAAGTAACTTATTTTGTGTACAAAACCAAGCATAAAAATAGAGAGAAAACTTGGTCGGTGCAATGGTGTACTATGCAGCATAAATTTCTGTAGAACCACGTGTGGGTGGCACAAGAAATGAGAAGGGGGGGGGGGGGGGGAGGGGAGTGTGAAAGCTTCACCGAGCCGCGCTTGAGAATCGCGCGAACTGCCCGTGCCGCAGAGAACGTGAACTGGGCTGCTCGGCCGCTGTCCAGAGCGATGAGCAAAGATTGTGGAATCATGGCTACCGGAGCGGCGTCATCGCCGTTCCAATCAGACAGGAGCGCATCGCGTTGAGCGAGCAAACGAACAAGCCAGCAGATAAGAAATTGCTGCAGAAACCACTTGTTTTGGTTGTCTATGAATTGCGATAGCATTCGTCAAGGACAACCTCCAAGACGACGTCTAGGACGATCTCAAGGACTGCCTCTAGGGCGATCTCAAGGAACCTCTAGGACGATGTCTAGGGCGATCTTAAGAACTACCTCCAGGACGACCTCCAGGACGACGTCGAGGATGACGTCCCAAGGGACCATGTTAAAGACGACGCCTAGGACGACCTCTAGGACTTTAAGGACGACGACGTCAAAGACGATCCCTAAGACGCCCTCAAGGACGATCTCAAGGACTATCTCTAGGGCGACCTCAAGGACGTACTAAAGTCCCGAAGTCCTGAACGTCGTCCTAGAGGTCGTGCTAGACGTCGGTTTTGACGACGTTATAAAGTACGTCGTCGAAACCGACGTCTCGGTCCTCGGACAACCTCAAGGACGACCTCCAGGACGACGTCAAGGTCGTCAAGTCATTCAAAGAGGGTTCGAATGTGAAGGGTCATAAGAATGTGAGCTTCAATGGTCTATTGCGCATACCTACTGCGCATTAGGAGGCCCGAGAGTACAAGAAATCCGGGGGGGGGGGGGGGGTGTAGCTAAAGAATGCTATCGCAATAAGCGTACGCGCGTGCCCAGTGCCCTGTTCTCGGCAGCAGGCACGGCGCGCCGTCAGGAAGCGCGGCGATGCAAATCGGTTGGCGCTCCAGTGTAATCTGTGTGACGTCACTTCCGTGACCAAGTTTTTGTGAAAACGATCTCCCAACTTTGTACGCCCTTCCAAGTGCGGAAAAAGACGTTGTTCTACGTAAAAAAAAACAACAACAAAAAAACAAAAAAAAAACGGGTAGATTGTTTGTGTTACACGGCTGTAAGTTTTAGGCGTGACGATGTCTACCTGCCGAGTCTAGATAAATAAAAAAAAGATGTATAAGAAATTAAGCATTTAATTTAAAGTAACGGAATTTAGGAAATAAAACCCAAGTATCAAATAGAACATTTATTTATTTGTTAGCCACAGAATCAACTGAACGAAACGAATATTTGAACATGAGGTAAACTCATACAACTAATTGATGCATAAGAAACTGAACGAAACAAATGTCAAGACACCAACACAAGTGTACTTCCTCCCAAGTCACACAGGGAATCAAAACAACTGCATATCGAAACGCGAGTTTAATGTTATCTTCAAGGACGAAACTCGTGGATCGGTTTACACGCGATTGATTATAGGACGATGGTAGGAGAAAATATATCGTAGCATTTCGGCGGTGATGCGGCGGGCGAATGTTACGTCGATACAAGTTCCACGGAGGGTTGTGGGTGGCCTAGTGTTGGGTACGCAAATATATATCTGGAGAGTGTACTAATGTATCTATTTTTAACGAGTATACAGATCCTAGGCGTGCACCATGTAAAAGCGAAGCCCCAGACCGAAAGCCAAGGTTTATTTTGCAGTGTCAATGCAATAAAAATATTTATCGTTTTGAATCCTAAACATATCAGCATAATTCCTCAAGGGGCAAACCCAAAGTACTGAAAAAAACACACAAGTATTTATAATTAAAATAGCGGTGTGGTTTTTGAGGCACGTCATTGGGGAGGATGGGGGGCAATGGGACAGTGGGACTGCCAATATATTTCTACAGTAAATAGTTCCAAAAAGAACTGTTATATTGATGAGGCCGTGGTAGCGGTACTTTTAACTGTAACGACGTACCTGTTTGGCGAGGTTTGCACGATCTGAGTCAGTGCTCGCCACTTCAGCACTCAAAAGTAAATAGCACATATTTGTTTTGCTCGATTCTTAAACTAAACGGTTTGGCCAACGGCTGTAGTAAACTAACCTTGAAAAGATGTTCTAATGTGTTGCTTTTAACCACCGATATTTTAAGCTTAACATCTCACGTGTTGCCACAATTGGCAACTTACCATGTGCAATTCAGTTTGGGAGGAATGCGACATTGAGATTGTATGAGGATGGGGACAGTGCCTCAGTTTTTCTTTTCTAAAGGCTGGTGCCCCGAGGGATGAGGAATACTCAAGTTAACCTGTAATAATGGTGAATCATCTCATTTTATTGGTGTGAGTTGGGCTGGTTGGTACATGTTCACAGTCTCTGCATGTCCTATCTCTGTATGTATTTTTTTTGTTCACTCTTGGGGGGGGGGGGGGGGTTCTCATTTTTTGTGAACATCTAATTATAGTTCATATTGCATTTAGGACATCAGATATTTGCTTTGTGTGAAATGTTACGGCACTATTAATCCCCGGTTCAAAACCACAAAGAATCGGAGGAAAACAGACGTCTTCAATCGGGCTTCATGTATGATGAAGACCCGTCTGTCTATAATATTCACTAGTAAAATTTTTATCGCAATTCGCATGTGCCCCATTACTCCCTGGGGGGAGAGTGAAATGGGACACCTTTTTGTTATTTCAATTTCTTTTTCATTAACGTTTCTAGGATAGTTAGGACAAATATCTGCGCAGCTGATGTGAAGTGTATTTCACGCTACATTTAGCACCATTACACTTGTTTATATGTCACCATTAATCCACACAACAATTATAGTGTGAAAACTGTCCCATGCCCCCAAATTCCTTTAACAGTAGCAGTATAATAACTATCGGTTTTTGCGTTCGTTCCTGAACAGGTGAGACTGGTCCTGCTAAATCGGAGAATCCGGTGCTGAAAGATGTGGCGAGTGCTGGACCGGACATCATACAGGGCATTCAACGCTCAACTAAAGAAACGACATTGCAAACGGCTGTATCTGCTGAGAATACCAACAGAAGCAACGAATCGGAACTTGAGAAGCACGGGGAGCTTTCCGCCGAAGACGAGAGGTAAATGGCGTTCACTCTCCAAAAAAGTACTCGAAATTGTAGATTTTGCTATAGAACTTGCAACAGTTGACGGGTGTAAATCTATGAGCTCAATAAATTCACTTAAACTTCACAAAAAAAGAAAGAGATATAAATTATTTCCTGCACAGTTGGAAGTGCTAAACAATAAAAGAAAACGAAGGGCGAGATGTTTCGAGGGATGTACTGCGTGTTAGAACGAATATTACGTTGTGATTAGCGCTTTTACTTTGTGTTCCAGGCCCATAAGTAAGCCATGAAGTTTAGTTCTTTCACTGAGCGGCTCAGCAGTGTGTCACAATGTGTCATTTGCGTAAACAACATTTGGGCTTGCACTGCCTTAACGCGATTTGAAATTATTTTTTTTACATGACTACATTTAACACAGCATGTAAACTAACGCTTTAAGGAACTTCATACGGCTCGCAAAAAATTGGTTTCTCGACGTATTACGCAGCGATTTACTACGAAGGTGCAAGCATGCGGTGAAGAGTTTACAGTAAAAAAAAAAAAAAAAAAAATAGAAAACTTACCTGGACCAAAAGGAGAAAAAATCGAAAAATTTACGCAGCAATTTCGCAGACGATGCACGCGTAGAGAAAAGTGCTGCCGACAGATGGCGTGCGGCGCGTCGAGGGAGTGTAAGGGAGTAAGGAAGCGCCAGCCGATTCGGGTTGGTAGCAGACGATCTCGCAAGAAAACCCGAATCGGCCGGCGCTCCCTCGGCGCGGCGTACGCCATCTGTAGGCAGCACGCCTCTCTACACGTGTATCGTCCGCCAAGTGGCGGCGTAAATTGCCCAGAGCAGTTGTTTTTTCTTCTGAACGGAATAAGTTTATTCCTTGATTGTTCTTTAACTGTAAACTTCCACCACCTGCTTGCACCCCTGTATGTAGTCAATTGCATCGCGATATGTTGAGAAACCAATTTTCGCAGGCCGTTTAGATTGCATAAAATCGTTAGTATACTTAAACTTGAGAAGGAAAACGAAAAGGGACGGACAAACACATTATCCATACCAACCCGCTCGTTCTGTCCTAACGTTAGTATACAAGCTGTAGATTGAGGGACTGGTGAAGGGTATCTGCCCCTGTGCTGCTTGACTGGTCCACAGTCCCAGTTTCATTCGTCAGCTAAACAGGTTCGCCGTGTATGCAATAATAAAAATTAAACTCACTGAAATCAATTTAATCGTACCTCAGTATCACGGAGATGGACTTTCAAAGGTAAACAAAATGCTTAACATTTTGCCGGTGAATAACGCGTCAAAGTTCCAGGCGTCGTCTCGGGTATTTCTCCTCTGGGACACGGATCCACAACATCGGTCGTGTCCGTCGCAGTGACTCCAACGAAGCCGACGAGGTCCCGCAGGCGGACATGGCCCCCCTTGCCCCTCACCACGGGCGTTCTGCCGCCCCTCACGGCCACCCTCACCACGGAGCCCCTCCGGCCTACGTAACAATCCTGCGGCCCCCGCCCGTGCACCCCCCGCCCCCGCCCGCTCCCCGGCCGCTGCCCGTGTACCCGCCAAGGGTTCCCAAGGGCGCCCCTCGTGCCGGCGGACCCCGGCGCCCAGGCTCCGATCACGGAGGCGACAAGAGGCCTCCGATGCACTACCGCCAGGGGCCCCCGGCCCTCGGCAAGGGACACAAGCTGGACAAGGAGGAGCGCCGTCGTCTGCCCTTGCGCTGTAACAAGAACCTGCGCTACCGTACCTACGACGGGTCTTGCAACAACCTGCACGCCCCTTGCTGGGGAAGGGCCGGGGAGTCGTTCGGACGCCTGCTGAAACCGGCTTACGCCGACGGTGAGTGGTTCTGCCGCCGGAGTCGCCAGCTCATTTTGTCCGGGATTTTCTTTCAAAAGGCATCATGTGCCTGCCCTTTTGAATGAACCCAGCTGGCTATAAACATAATAATATAGATTTGAAAAAGAAAACAGAAAAAAAAAACCAGCGAGGCTTGTGAATTACGTAGGTGAAAATCCACCTTTCCCCGGGGCACTTTTTTTCTTCTCACAAGCTCGGGCTGGTGTTATGTAGCTTCAACTAAGCGAAAATCAGACCTGAGATTCCGTCTGCCCTGGTCAAAATGAGCCTTGCAAATTGTATTTTCAACTTAACGGAGCTTATGGCAGAACGCTTAACTTCGAAATGTTTGTCTAACAGGTCTGCCATCCACAGGATAGTATATTACAAACCTACAAAATAAAACGGCCTGGTAAAGATCGAGTAAAAGGAGCTGGAAAAACATGCATAAAAGACCAGCGCTAAAAGGCGGTAATGGCAACAATGATAGTTTATCGGGTAGCTTTCTTTTTCGTGTTCTGACGTTCTTGTGGAATGAAAACTTACTTCCGTTAATGCTCTTTTAGTTCTTGTTCACGATAACTAAAATGGGGCCCGAAATAATATAAACACTACAAAGTGATGACCTTGGTTACACAATATTGAGTGTGATACTTTTGCACTGCGTTAATGAAACCTCAATGGGGGAACGGAGAAAGCGTGATGGCCAAAATCCCAATTAAAAAGTGAAAGACTTTCACAAATCTCTGTAGTGCAAAAATTTGAGCGCAGCTATGGAGGTATTTTTATTTTGCAATATACCGCGCTGAAGAATTTGAGGAAGAATTATCTATGTGTACAAAAATAGACCTCGTAGTCCTGCGTGTATAATATAAATTAATTACTCATTATAATATTATTTATATAAGAAGGAGAAGGGTAGGAAACGGAGGAGGAGGAGGGTATGGAGGACGAGCAGGGGAGGGTTCTTTATGGAATAGGAGTAGGGGAAAGGACGGCGGACACTCCCCCACCTCTTCCTTCCCTCCTAATCCTTCTTCCCTCCTCTCCTCCCCCTCCTCTCTTCCTTCTCCTCTTCCTCCGATTACGCCGACGGCGACGGCGACGCCGAGGCCGCAAAACACTGGAACAAGCGCCAAAACATTGCGCTGGGGAAAAAAAAAAGAAGAAAAAAAGAACAGTGACTAAGTGTGTTCAAACACCGCAACTCAGTTGCGCGTGAAGCAAGAAGCTCACACTGGAGGCAAGGAGATTATACGTGGTTAGATACCGGTGTAACTATAGAGATTGTATTACTAGTATTCGTCTTTACATTGCCTCCACGAAGTTGTCCGGTTTTGGCACTTTCACCGCTACTTTTGTGGCCATACCTGTCCAAACTACCATGTGGGTATTTCAAGTTTCCGATTACTTATTATGTCAAGTCCTCTTGTTTTGTGATTCGTTCTTTGGTAAGATGCTCGTTTCTGGCGACGCCCGTGACGTCACGTCCGCCCGTGGCGTCAGATCTCCCTGCAGCCCCTCTTTTTCCTCTTCCCCCAGTTCCAAGCCAGACCCAGAATTCCGCCCCTGGGCTTCTTGCTTGGCAATTCGGTTTTTGGCGTTCTTTTCACCTAAAGGACGCAGTCTCATTGGCTGAGAATGGATGACAAGATGCTCGGTGGTACTTACTGCCAGTCCTCGCGTTCCTCATTAAGCCACCAGTGACTAGTAGCAACTCCAAAGAAGGTGACTCCATCCAGCGGAGGAAATGACGATCGCGGACTCCTGCCTATTCGAGTGTGCGGTGAAAATTGTCGGGTCCTAGCAGCCGGACTGTGAAAATGAAAGAGAGGAAAGGTGCACGGGGTCCGAATTGCTAATAGCAAGTGATGAATCGCCGCAGGGCTCCACCAGCCGCGTCGCGGAGAGTACGGCCGTCCCCTGCCGAACCCGCGCCTCGTGTCCCTGGCCCTGGCCGGGGGCTCGTGGCAGACGAGCGACACCGAGTACACCTTCCACACGGACCTGCTCACGCACTTCGGGCAGCTGCTGGCCCACGACCTCACGTCGTCAGCCACCTTCACCACCACCCAGACGGTAAACGGCAAGACCACCAAGGCCCGTGAGTGGAACGACGCGGGATTCTTTTTAACTCTTCGCTACTTTCAGGACATAAGTTTGCTTCACAAATTAGAAACGGGCAGCATCAACATATAGAAAAGAAATCTGCAGTTTTTAATAAAACACGAAATAAAAAAGGCCATACCTATGGTACGTATGCTCGTAGTACATCGTACGTAGGCACAACATTTATTCGTTTTCCGGCGTAGCCGCTTTAAGACTGTGCATACTTTTTGGATCTTCTGATTAACTTCATTATAAAATTGGCCCAGTTTTGCGTAACCGATTTGAGGGCTGCAGTTTTCTCTACAAATTACTGCAAATTTCACGTTGGAGGTGCGGCAACACTTGCCACGTAGCTCCCACCTTTCCTCATGCGACTACCATGTGTTTGGTAAAATGTAGAACGAGCTTATAGGACAACAATTTCGCACAGATAAGAGTGTAATAGATGAATGCTGAACACAAGAAAGTTTTAATTCACGGATTGTGTTATTTTGTGGTTTGATAGTATTGCCATGACAAGAGCCTTCACCATAGGATGTACACTGCGCGGAACTGCTAGCACGAACAAAACATCCGCCCCCGTTCGAAAGGATGCTGGCGGACATGAAATTTTACCTCATAGATTTGTGCCACAAATGGACACTTTTCACCGCCCTAGTAGTTTTGAGGATAGTTCCTTGGTACTAGAAGAAAAACAAAAACAAAACGGCGGTAGCTTGTTTGCACTAACAGCGTTGCGGAATGCACAACCAGCATAAATATATTCAGAAAACAATTTTTGTTTTGCGTAATCGCTACTGACTGATACCCGTTAAAGACCCAAGGTCGGCAGCCGTTGAGACATCACACATGCGACTCCTCTTGAGGAAGACCAACTTCATTTATGCTGTCAAAACACTCATACAGCAAAGTTTACTTAGAATACTTTCCGGAAATATTTTGAAACAGAAATGAAAACACTCATAGTATTTATATGCCGAGAATCTGCAAATCTAAAGTGTTCTAATGTTTAAATTTTGTTTTTCAAATAAAATCACCTATAACCGGCTTGAGAATCACTCTCAACACCACCATACCGCTGAGAGAGAACTCTTAACGCGGTGTTGTAAAAAAATTCACGAGTCGAAGGCTACTGTTTTTTTAGTTGGTAAAGTATTTGCCCGGTTTCAAAGCCTCAGTAGGCGCCGATAATAGCGCCGCCTATAGTTGCCCATTTCGGCAGGCCAGTTGGACGGTCGCCAGCCAAGCCCTCTTCCTAGACCGGGAATACCCCAAGCACATGTTGTTTGATATTGCCAAGTTGGAACAAAGCATGAACGGTGTTTAATCTGGTAAAATAACTTTAAACGAAACTTCCTGGAGGCATGAAAGTGGCAACCGACGTTTCGGTAATAGAGTCAAAGCTATGTCCTAACGAGATGTCGCTGCTGCTCCAAGACTTCTAGAGGGTTCCCCTCACGTCCATTGGAAGAATTTTTTCATCCTTATTTTTTTGTTGTTGCTAAATTGAAGCTAAAGCAACTGCCACAAGATGAGAAAGCAACGGCGTGAGGAAGTTTAAAATTAACTGTTCGAATTTGTTTTCTGCTTCAGCCGTTAAATTTTTCTGGAGGAAGATATGAGTTTAGCAAACGGGGAAGTTAAACCGCGCTTCAATAGGTTTTGTGGTAAAGTTGTCGAGCAAGCAATAACAGCTGGATAATGATCCATAAATGTTTGTACAACTTCGACCAACGGAATCTATCCAACCAAAATACTGGTCTATTTCATTTGAATGGTTTCATTCAGACAGCACCCGCAATTCATTTGGATAACACAATCACTTCATTTAAGAGGAGTCTCATTTAGATAGCGCCACTTATATGTCATAAGGGGCGGATACAGGGGTTTCCAGAGAGAGGGGTCAGCTTATCAGATGTTTATGAACTCCTCCCCCTCTCCTTCTTCACCGCCCTAAAATTTTACACATGGTGAATTCGAGAGTGGTGTCAGGACATCCGGAACCCCCTCTGAATTCGCCACTGAGCATAATCCTGCACCACATAATTTGGCGCCGCTTGCCGACCACAACATAACCCGACACTGTTTGCGCGTAGAAGTGACTGCCTGTTTTTTTTTCTTTTTTTTTCCTTAAAATTTGGAGACTTTCACAAAAACTCTAGTGTTCTCGAAAGTATAGTTTTAGACGCACGAACCCTCTACCATTTCGCAGTGAATTGAGAAAAAAACAAGAAAGAAATTTAATGCCGTGTTTGAGCTAAAAGTGTCGCGCAGTATACTGCGCTGTTCTTGAAACTCATTAGATTGCTTGCTGCGGGTGGCGTATGTTCCATGTTTGAATTTCATTCTGATGTGTTTTGAAGCCCTTGAAACATAAGGCAAAATGTTTTTTTTTCTTTAAATAATTACATACTCTTAGCTTAAAAGAAATAAAGTTTTAATTACCTTGGGCAGGGTCACTGGTTTAGACCTTTGATGCCTCCCATACCAAGGCACTCTTAAAAGGGCGATGCAACGATTTTTGCACTTTGCGCAAATACCGCTTAGAACAAACCCCTGACGTTATTGACCTATAAAACACGCGTTCGTTTTTCACCAGACGCAATAGAAATCCCAGAAAAAAAAAGTAACAAAAAAAAAAGAGCAGGGTTTAATTCTTCAACTCAAAGTCAGAACAAGCAACCACTTGATCTGGAGCCGATTTTATGCCGCCAATGTTGATCATAGCCACGCGCTGAGGTTGGCAAATCACAGGACACGCACTGAGTTCCAGACGTTGTTATGGTTCGGCTATTGTCGTCATTGCATCATTTGGACACGGGCCACAACCTGAATGCTTGTCGAGCTATTGATTATCACGAGCCCAAATCGAGTGCTCATGCAATGCTTGGGTCCAATCTATGAGCAGTATTCAAGTATCGTCACTGGGGGTACTGCGACCCCCAGGTACGTCATTAAGTTTTGCGAAGGAGAGGTTGAAAGAAGACGCTCGCTTTTGTCCTTGAAATGACGCCGCAACAAAGGAGTTTCTTGGTCAGTGGCGTTGCGTGCGAGTATACTTGTGTCCCACTAGGGCCAGTAAGCTTGTGTAAAGTGAAAAATATTCCAAGCAAATATCGTTGCAGGGCCTTTTTAAGGGGACATGCGCCAATGGAAAATCTTGCTTAAAATGATGATTTTCGATACCTGATTGAACATTTTACAGTGTATAGTGCTTTATCACCTTTTTATAAATCTGGTGTTCGTTTTTGTATACCTTGTTTTTATGTTCTCGATGCTATACACGTGCTGAAAACAGCAAGTTCTTGCGAAACCGTGTGGCATGGAACATACTATAAGCCATTTCGCTCCTTTTACACCACTGAGGGCAGCGAAGATAAAAAATATTGTGTGCGTGACCAGTTTTATTTTAAAGTAATAGAAAATCGGAATATCGCCATTTTCGAAAAGCTAACAAAAGTTTCTTAATTTTATATAAATATAAAAAATATACATTTAAACAAAAACTTAATCGTTACATTGCAAACATTCTAAAGCATATGAATGCCAGATTAGCTTGTGATAGGGCAATTTTGAGGGCAAACATCATTCTTCGCCATCTTTGAGGATGCCCAAAAATGCATAAGGGAAAAACGCGTTCGAATATGACCATGTAGATGTTTAGTGACACTCTTTTGTGGAAAGAAAAAAATAATGTTTTTTAAGAAATATTTTGTGACAAATTGAAGCTAGAAAAGACTGCGATGGAGAGGAGACGCTAAGCCTACGTCTTAAAGGGATACTGAACCGAAATTTGGATTTCGCAAAATAAGGCCGCAGAAGCATTGAATGGGACGCTACAAACTCCAAAACGTCATTCATACGTCGATACCTCGAACGGATGGCCGTGCTTTTGGAAAAAAAAGGGCGCGATCAAGCGAGGTCTTTGACGTCATTGTCCCCCAGGAGAATTTGAGAATGAGGGGAAGAAGCCTCGCTTCTCTGCTCCCGCCTTCGGTTCACCAGGTCGACGGGACGTAGCGAGGAGGAGAGGGAATGGGAATCGTGACGTGACTTCTCTCGTCAGTCTTGTCGGCCGTGTTCAATCGCGCACTTCTCAGTTTCCAAAAATACGGCGATCCGTTGAAGATATCGCTGTATAAGTCATGTTTTTGGGGTTTGCAGCGTCCCGCCTGTCCGTCCAGCCTTGTTTTGTGAGCTCGAAATTTTTGTTTAGTATCCCTCTAACATAAATCTGATAGCGGGAGACGTCGCAATTTCAAAAATCGTGCACAGAAAAATGCCTCAAATTTCTGCCGTTCTGTGTCGCCGGGAGTTCTTCAAATGCGTAGTTTAGTAATTTAGCGATCATAACCGGTCCTTATTATTTTTATACGTTCAGTATGAAGATTCTGAGTAACAACACACCACAAAACCCAAAATTACATTTTTTTCCCCAACGATATTGCCGTTTTTTCTTTTGTTTCTGCCCCTTATCTGAAGTTAATATGTGTAGAGCTGACTTAGTTCTTTTGCGAATTTTGCTATACAATGATGAAAACAAATAATTGAACAACTAGTATTAAAGTTTTCAATTTTGTTTGGCGTGCACATCTCACTTTTTTAAAAAAATAATTGTTTGTCTTTAAGTTCAAGAAATCAAGAAATAAATAATATAGCTTTGCCACTTTTTTACTATACGCAATAAACCTTTTTTTATTTAAGAAAATAGATATGAGCATATTCCATTATTTGTGACAGTACTTTTGCAGTAGTGAGTGTTTTAATTTACCATCAAAAAGCAATATTTTATGTTCCGTTTTTAAAATTGCCTTTTATGCACATCTGATCAGGTAACACCAACTGCAATAAGTTGGCACATTTATCACGGAAACATGAAACCAAACATTAAACTAAGAAAAGCAGGTCAGTGTAGCTTTCTATTTCTGAAACAGCGCACACATGCCTTTACAGGAATACACGCCATTATATTAAAAATAATTTTCCCCTTTCTTTACAAAAACGATACAGGGACTTTGAATACAATACAGACGACACAGGCTCTCAATAAAAATTGCACTGACTTATTTTTGTTTTCCTATAATAACTGTAAACTAGAAAAAAATATATTTCTTGTTATATCGGTAGTCGAATTTTATCGCTCTATTAAAATAGCTAATAGTTTTTAGCTTTCCAAGCCTTAATTTGTTTCAGAAGTATGCCCTACGTTTATGATAACAGCTGTGCAAAACAATGTTGAAAGTAAAAAAATGCAATTTTCACCCTTGATTTCGGGATTGGAATTTTCCTCAGTGGGTTTGTACCAGAAATACCTCTTTTTTTTTTTTCAAAACCTTGTGTAGTGCATTTTGTAGCAGTCTCGCAAGTTGAAAAAGCGGTCAACCAGGATTGTGTTTGTTTTTAAAATTTCTGCTCTTTTATTTTTTGAAAATTATGTCTAAAGAATTTTGTTGTTTTGCTATCCTTAAAATGACTTACATAAGAAAGGTCGCAGCGAAACATTTCGATTGTGATCTTAGTCATCCGCGCATCATCTTTACCGGAGGGCCCTTCTCTCCTGTAGCTAGAAAGTGCGTTGCATAGTGCACCTAGAACAACTGCTTTCACACAAAACATATCTCTGTAAAAAAATGGGGAAAAAAACAAACTGCGATGAAATACTTTTCTGATGTTAGCCTGAGACTGAGGCAGGAAAAGAGGAAGTTTCAAAGTAGAAGTTTCAAAGTTCCTCTTTTCCTGCCTCAGTCTCAGGCTAACATCAGAATGGTTAATTTCCACCAGCTCGCCTGCACACTCACTACAATATCATTGAAATACTTTTATCTCTCAAAATATGTGCTTTTTCAGATATCTTTCTAAATTTGAAATATAACGCAAAAATTCAAAGGTTGAAAACTTAATTCGGTTTTTGTGATATCAATTTATAAATTTCATTTTTTTCATTTCATTTATTTACCTCAAGGGCGTCTTTGAGGACGCATTACATGAGGGGGGTAGGTGGTACATGCATTTGTAACAACATAGTAACACAATTTTCCAAACACAATCATTGGGACAACAAAATCATCGCAATCAGCCCAGCACAGTTTACAAAAAGGAAATCACATCGTACGTACACAACTGCAATTTTGAACTGGACTTAACTATGTATAAAACAACAATTTCAATATGGAGAAACGCTTACAAATCAAATGTAAATATTGATAGATTTATTCAGAAGGACATCTTCGCCTCAATTTCTTTTGTTTTATTCATGATGTTAAACTGCCACTATGGTGTCATTTGGCTTTGTCAAGCTCTCGGTGGGACAGATGTTTATGTGACCTCTAGCATCATGTCATTTTTGACGAAAATAAACGTCATTATTTTAGTAATATTATTTATGAAAAACCTTGGTTACCAGCTAGCTCTTCTACGCTTTTCTTTTACTGCAGTGCAGAGATAACTTTATCACAAAGTATGCAGGCCGTATTGCTGCTACAGTAGTCTCAGCAATCTTTCAAACCTAAAATACATGCAAGGTAGTTTATAAAAAAAAGATTGTCATTTCTCGGTGAATTTGGAAAACAGTAGATCCGAATGAGGATGTCACGGTTTGCACATAAGTAGATAAAGAGAAAAAAATGTGACAAAAGAATACAAATATTTTGCTTTACTTAACAGCATGGCGAACACATAAAAGTCTGAGAAATATTTTGTACTTAACCATTTACTCTTCCCTTTATTAAATTCCTAAAATAATTTGGTAGCAGACACTACAGAATCATGTAGTTCATGGCACAAATCTTTGTAGATATTTGTATAAGTATTTTTGTAAAAATCTAGCTAACCGATAATAAAAAACCCTTTTTACCCCATTAGCCTTCATTATTCTAAGATTCGTATGGAGGCCGTATGTCGGCTCCTCGCCTTATAGTTCTGGATTAGCAGCGCTTCAGATTGAATGAAATTGAAATTTATTTTGATTTTCGCGCATATTACAATTGATCAGCTGATAACCCAACCCGTCATCGTTTGTTTACGCCCGTCTCAATCACCCTCGCAAAGTAGGCCGTCCCATTTCGTCAATATAACAAATATTTTGCACAATTTATTCTTAGAGTTTCTAATGAATTGAATCAAACACCTTGCTCACTTACATCAATTGTTGATTCTGTCACTTTTCGTTCAAATTTTGGAGATCCTGTGTTTCCTGTTGTTTAACTGGTTTGTTAATAAAGCTTGGACTTGGGTTTGGGCTAGTCGGTTGTACATTGATAGACGTGCTGCGCTGCGAAGTTCTACAGAACTTCGCAGCGCAGCAGTCTATCAACTGTTCTGTAGTTTCCACTGTTATTTAGTTTGTTCTCTCACCACTGCATCCTTTAATATGCCTCTGACCATGACGAAAATTTTAATAAATAAATGAGAAACTTGTCTTCCTTCCTACAAGCTTTAACGTTTTTTGTTTTTTTTTTTACAGCGGAGCTGTTAAGGGTTAGTTTCACCAGAATCGTGTCCCGCGCAAAGAAATGAAGACACCGAACTCTGGACACCTACCGGCACCTATAAGCGACGGCGGCAAGCTACGTATCTGGTTGCCGCCGTCGCTCATAGATGGCGGCAGCCTATCCACTCTGGCTTGCCCACTTGCGGCCGGCCATTACTTTCCATTGTACAGCTCCGCTGGTCTTCCTTCTTCACCAGAGTGGAAAGGCTGACTTTTTTTTTTATTTGCTAAAGGGTACGATTTTGTAGAATGAAAGTGAGAGGTACAGATTGTTGTTTGTGACGTATGTGCTGCGAGGTATAAAAGATGCAGAGGTTAAAAGGGCTAAAAATCAAGGACAAGTAGAAAAAAGACGAACATCGCATTGCGTCAATTTGAACTGTAGTTTCTGCATAATAATAAAAAAAAAAAAACATGTACACCGTGAAATCAGACATTCCACTTAGGCAACGCCGCTCATATAATATACGCTTATCAGTTTCCTTGAAACGATTTCAAGTTTGCAACCTCAGCCCCAAAAAGGTTTATCCAGGTAGAGCTGACACAGCTTCGCCACACGTCTGACAACATCATAATATTGACCCGTAACAATAACAAGAACACGTGAGAGACATCGGAGGTGTTTTTTTTTAAATTAATTACGACAAAGGTACAGATGTTAGCTCCCCTCGATAACCCTGTTTGGGTTTGAGGAAAAAAACTTCCCATTGTTCAAAGTGAACTGATGAACGTATATTATTTGGACGGCGTTACTTACGTCACGTGTCTTTTTGATTTCACGGTGTATATGTTTATGTGTAATTGTAGACTTTAGTCGAGTGGTGCTCTCTGTGGTGTTCGTCATTTTTCTACTGGTCCGTCGTTTCTAGCGCTTATTTTCTTTACCAATAATTACCAACTAGCACAAGTACACACCCTTAGACGTATGAAAGCAGTTGGAAAGAAATAAAAAAGCAAAATATGCATCACTTCCCTAACCCATGTACGTCTCTTCTTCTGTGAAACTCCCGTGCACGCTTAAAATACGTTCCACAGCTCAGTACACAAAGACGGCAGCGCGCAGCTGGCGATGATTGGAATGGTGTAAAGTTACACGGAAGGAGTTGCGGGTGTAAAGCAGCGTGAATGCGCCTTGTCGCGCCGTTCCAGCGCCCAAGTGCTGCGGAAAGGAACGTCCGAACGCCGAGTGCAGCCACATCGTGATACATCACACCGACGAGTTCTACCCGGCAGGCCACTGCATGGAGAATGTGCGATCTGACTGTTACAACGCCAGCCGGACATCTTGTGCGAAGAACAGCCCAGGTAGGCGCCACGTCATGCCGCGGCTACGAGGAGAGTGACATCAACTGAACCGATTCGGCATAAAAAACTGAGTGTTTGAGCGTGACCTTAACGAGTAAGGTGTAAAAAGGTACAGTGCAGTGTTCGTACAAGTTGACGACATCCTAGATTTTTTTTTTTATCGAAAATACATTTTCGCGTCGCATAAGTTGACATAATCGAAACTTTAACCTATCCGTCCTTTTCACCCTTCCCCTCTCCATCCCTAACCGTCATCATCACATCAGTTTTATTGTAGGGTGGTTTTTTTTCTGACTCGCAAGCGTACACGGCGAAAGGCTATACCAGGAGCTCTAGCGTAAGGGTTTTTACCTATGTGCTTTGCCTGGCACGCTGCCGTTTAATCAACTAATCACGTAATAAGGCATTTTACTGTTTAGGTTTAAACCCCAATTAGTATCTTGCTCTCCTTTTGCGTGTTTGTGCCGTGAAACCTCGGCAGTGAGATGAAATGAGTGTCAAGAGTTAGGTATGTTTGCGTTTTCAGCCATGAATATATATGAAAGCCACGGTAATTTGATAAAATCACTTCTAATTTCTAAAGATTAAAGACTCTTTTGCCTGATCTCGAGCGTATCAGATCATGAAACCAAGCCGATTTCAAGACGGCAATCTTATTTTTATTCATGCAGTTAAGCTGAAGGCGTGGTCACCATGCAAATGCATGTGCGTGTACCACAGCGCCGTTACAGAATACGGCAATTCGAATGTCAGAAAAGGATTCAGAATTTATGATTTCGGGTAGCAAGCTTTTGCGCTCTCAGTTGTTCGAGGAACAAAAATTGAAACATCACTTTGTGATTGACTTTCAAGTTCCAGTCTCTCGTGCTTAGTTTGACCCCTACATCTTTGTACAGAGGTGGACAATCTTCTTAAGGAAAACAAAACAAAACTAGTGCTGCCGTAATAGTCAAACTTTCGCTTTCGTTTCCAAGCACAATATCAGTATTAAATATTGAACAACAAATTTGCCCGAACATATAATGTCAATGCAACTCGCGTGCATAATAGGACCAGTGAAAGTATTGCGAGGCAAGTGGTGAACAAAAATAAGAACGTGGATTGTAATGATGACGTTTTTGAGAGAGTAAAACGGGCAGATCGCGACGAGACTTCAGCAATTTTTGTGTCTTTAAGTTGATGAGCACATGGTCTCCTCCAAGAGAGTTTCTGTTGCTATAAACTCGCATCAGCTTGTTTATCAATATCAAACGCTCCACGGGTGAGTGGATCCTACGGAGAGATAAGACGGTCACCTTTAATGGAGTTGAGGCAAAAAGCCAATCAAGCGCGCGTACAGAAACTGAAAGCCTCGGCTAGTACTCCTGTCGCCTTAGTGAAAAGTAATTTTAGAACAGGTAAATTGTTTTACTTCTCTAAGCCCGGCTATCAGAAAGACTGGAAAAATAATTAAACGTAGCTTAGATCCTCGTCGTCAAACCCGGCAACAAGTACAAACTTGAAGAGCTTTTGGATCATCAATATTTTTTCGTAGTTTAGAAACCACTGTGCTACAGCTTTTTACTCAACTAATGCCACGGCCTCCAGACTCGGCAGGACGTTTTAACGCCTCCGTAAATAAACAGTTTTTATTTAAGAAAAACAAAAGTGACGTGTATAATTGTGATGTCATGATGGGATACGAAGTGAAGCAGCATTTATGAAAAGCCGAGAAGGCCTCCTTAGGTGTCGTATTATGTTTTCCCGTGTTCAGGACCGTACCGAGAACAGATCAACGAGGTGACCTCCTTCATCGACGCCAGCATCGTCTATGGAAGCAGCGAGGAGGAGTCCAAGAAGTTGCGCTCTGAGGATGGCAAAGGAGGTGAGGACACGCCGAATGCAACTTCGCCATACATGGCTCTTGTATTTCCGCAGCAAAAATGCTGATGGATAAGACCAGCCTCTACATCCCCAAGGGACTCCTACCCAGAAAGAGCGAGGGCGAGTGCTTCAGCTACATGCCCGGGTGCGACAAGCAATGCTTCAGAGCGGGTGAGTGAGACGGATGAAAGCTCCCTCGACCAAACTATCACAATGACTTTCATTTGACAAAAAACAAAATGCCGGTCTGGTTGTCTTTGATGGATGAAGATGGCAATACACTTTGATAGGTGCGGTTGCAAACCCGTTCTTGATAAAATGAGCATATTAAGACGACACAGTCAGCAGATGACTAGAGAAAGTTTATAGGCCTTTCATAATTCAAAGAAAAAAAGAAAGGTGCGTTAGTTTGCCTTCTATCGCATTTTTTGACAAAGAGTTGGCATTCTTGAGCAGGTTTGACATTTTACATATAATTCCCTTTGATTATATTATCTAAACTTGCGAGATCTTTGAACACACCTTGTGATGTTCGTCATCTGTATTTATTTGATAGCTCTTGGTGGACCTTACTACTAGTTTGAGAGGATCGCACGAAGATACTTTTTATATATATTCCCCCTATCCTCTAACACCGTTAGTTCGCAAAATGTGTTTGTGTTGATTTTGTTCTAGGTGTCATCCTTACATGTTTATTTCTTATGTTTGTGTCGCCAAGTTCTCCAGCAACATCTAAATTTTTCTGGTAAGCAAGTGAAAAGCAATATTTTTTTCTTACTTTCGACCTTCTGGTTGGAGCACCATTGTCAATGGGGCCCTAATTTAAAGAGACACAAAAACAAAATCCTAGCGCCTATTTCTGTGCCAATGTAAGGACTGTCCTGCACAAACACCTAAAAAACGCAGCTGTTTGTAGAAAAACGCGAAAAAAGACATACTAAAACGACTTATATGAATAAAAAACTCCACCTAGCGGAAGCATTTGAAGCTTCGTTGGAGGGTCCTTACGTCATTGGTTTCACAAGGGCAGCGCTGCGCCGCGGGAGTACGCTGTACTCGTATACGCAGCGCAGACCTCTACGCGAAAGCGATATTGAAAGTGATATCATCGCCAGCAGGAAACTTGGCAGTACACTGTGATAGGTGCGGTTGCAAACCTGTTCTTGATAAAACGAGCATATTAGGACGACAGTCAACAGATGACTAGAGAAAGTTTAGAGGCCTTTTATATTTCAAAGCAAAAAGAAAGGTACGTCGGTTCGCCTTCAGTTGCATTATCTGACAAAGAGTTGGCATTCTTGAACAGGTTTGACACATGCGGGGGGAGGTGACTTGATGTTTTTTTTTATGATCCGTCATGCTTGTCGATTTGTGTTTTCTTCCAATAAATCAGTTGACAGTCAGCCCTCTGTACACTTCGTCTTCTTGTCGTCGGTTTTTTTGGCGCTGTCTTATTTTTTTGTTAAACATGTACCACCAACTCGCCCAGCATTCTACCATATTACGATATTGGCGGAGAATGCCGCCGTTGAGTAAGCCACGTTGGGCCGTGCCAACAAGCGTGGTTAACGAGCAGTTCCCAAAGAAGACGGCTTGGAGGCAGTCTTCGTCTTTCGAACATGATGAATTATGCCTGAGACTGTAGATAAGAAAGATGGAACATCAAACAATTGAAGAGACAAAAAAGGGACAATGCGACGTCTCAAATATTTATCACGGTTAACTTTCACCAGCTCAGGTATAATTAATTGTTCGTAACCTTCATTAGGTCGCCCGCAAACTTAGTATTGTATCTATTTCGAACATTTTGTTTGCTTCATTGGACGAATCAAATGTTCGCGAATAATCTGTGCGTTTCCGATGAGTCGCCATGATATCGTGTGGAAGAGTATTTGGGCAGCTACGTAGTGTATCAACTGTGAGACACTGGTGCAACGGTCCTGCTGTTTGCGAACGAACGAGAGAGAACTGATGAAGCTGTCCGTATCGCTCGTCCGTCGTATTCTGCAGTAATCATCTTTGTAGTGAAGACTCTTACAACAAAAGGAGCGCAAAGGCGCTGAAGTAGTACATGGACCCACCTCCTGCATGGCTTGAACAAACAACTGAATCACTTGAATGTGATCTCGCTGTAAGCGAGCGTGCGCCGGCGTCGATTACTGATCTCGTCATCGTATATGATTTTCGTGTTGACGTAGTGTTCTGCACACAAAACCGCAGGTACTTGCAGCGCGAGCGCTCCGTCAACACGAGGGTGACGGTGGGGCGATCAGAACGATGGAATCGAAGAGACCTTGCGGTTGTGCGGTCGTTCAGTCCATGGGTATTACGACTAAGCAATATTGTAACGCACTGACCCCACCAAGTGGCAAAGCTAATAACTGCAGCATGCGTGGCCCTGCTAGGGCCGATTACGTCGCATTCTCGAGAAATATCCCAAGACGCATCGCGCCCTTCATCGACTGATTTTGAAACGCTCACCAAACTCTGGCATTCAGAACAAAAAAAAAAATAATATGGCCATCCGCTCAAATCACACGCGTGCAATCATTATTTTCAGGTATAATAATTCTATTCGACTTATTTCTGGATGTTTCGCGTTTATTTCAGGTTCTAATTCAGTGTCCTTTTAAGGCTCTGAGAGTTTAAAAACATTACCTCTTTTTGTGGCTTTTTACCTGTTCTTATTGTGCTTGGTGCGATGTTCATTTGAGTCACTCCTGATGTACGGCGTATTTCGTTGTGTTGTAGGAGACAACCGGGCTTCACTGACCCCGGTGATTGCATCACTGCAAACGCTCTTGGTTCGTGAGCACAACCATATCGCGGACAAACTCAAGAAGAAGGGTTGGCCCAACGACAAAATCTACCATGTGGCCCGCAAGATGATCAGTGCCTGCCTACAGGTGCGGCCCCTTTACCTCCCATGCCGACTGCATCGGCACTCATTGATCGTTCGTCTCAATTGCGCGCTTTCTTACGCACTAGCCTCACACTGCCGCGAAGGGTGGTGATTTAGCTGCAATCTTTACTTACAACTTTCAAATCACGAGTAAAAAGGGTGGTTCCCTATTCTCGTTTTGAGCGAAAAGTGGTTGGTTGCAAGCAATGCAATTAAAAACGTTATTCCTTTAGTCGGTTGCAGTGTTTTAGTTCAAACTGCCGCAATCGCACCTAACGAACATCTTCCACTTTCCTTTAGCGTGGCGGTTTAAGGCAATCGTGACAATTTTATTTGGTGACGGATTCATGGGCATCTAATTAGAATGCTGGTACCGAAGGTTCTGGATGTTGTTCCCCATCCAAAATTAAGGAATTCCTTGAGCTTTTTTTTTTTTTTTTTCAGTCGCGGCGTTTCGTAAATTATTATAATTTTCAATACTTTGACTAAATATTGCACAGACTACTCTTGGCAGCTGTAAAGGAACACTGACGGCTTTTAATGATCAAATATAGCTACAGTTCAGTATCGAGGGACTCATTTATTTCTCAAATCGGAGCTATATAAAACTACCGCAGCACAGCCGAGCTCGTTCTTAATTACGTCGAACCCACAATACGCCTCGTAGTTCATTCTGGAAAACGTGTTTGCTCGTGTCGCTCGCTGTTCAATGTGAAACATTCTTCAAATAGGGCTCTACATGGGCACATTTGTGCGTTTTAGTTTGTGAACGTTTGAGTGAAATGTGAGCACCCATTGCATCTTTGTGGCTTGGAGCATTGTTGAAAACAGTGTCTAGGTACTGACTATCACAATCTGGTATCTGTATTAGTTCTAATGACAAGTTTAAAAAAAAGTTAATAATAAAAAATGAAAGCCGTTTACAACTTCCTGTAACGCCGAATTAGAGCGCAGCTCTTGAGGAGGAGACGAGGGAAGGGTACTGAGGGGATGGTATACCCCTTCTCCTCACCTCCTTCTCCTACCTGCCACTCCTCCTCCCTCCTCCTCCTCCCCTCATCCTTCAAGCTCCTTCTCTCTCCTCCTCCTCCTCCCTCCTCCCCCTCTTCTCTTTTCTTCTTTCCCCTCCTCTTCCCTCCTCCCCCTCCTCCTCTCTCCTCTCCCTCATCCTCCTCCGCTTCTCTCACCTTCTCCTCCCCCTCCTCCTCCCCTCCCCCTCGTCCTCCTCCCTCTCTTTCTCCATCTTCCTTCTCCCCGCGCGGTAAATCATGGGAAATGTCCCATAATGCACCGCGCGGGATCCTCGTGACGTCACACGTGACGCCACGATTGACGTCACGAGGGTCCCGCGCGGTGCATTATGGGATATTTTCCATAATACACCGCGCGGTTACACCGACGGCGACGGCGACGGCGACGCCGCTCAGGCCGGAAACGGGCGCCTAAGAGCTGCGCCCTAAAACAGCGAATATTTCATGTGTCCATTAAACATGAGCCAAGAGTGTCCGCATTCAAAGCGTGCTTTTGGAAGCCGCATGATCCTGAAAAACAACTTGAATTGCTTTTAAGACGAGACAAGCGTAGCAGTACACTAGAAAGTTGTCAACTTGGAATTCCGGCCAGTAAAAGTATTTTACAGCCGGAAGAATTTTTAACGCTCATACAAATCGAACAGGAATATCGTCGAAGCAAACGGGCATTAGGCGTGTGCTTTGACCAGCACGAAGAGGCAAACCAAAATCAAAGTAAGGATACTCTCTTCAGATAGCGAAATGAAAACAGCGTAGAAAAAAAAATTACGAAATCAAAGAAATTAGACATTCAAGCCCTACGAGAAATGTAAAGATGAAATGTAGAGGGCGAGAAACTTTTGTGGGGAATTCTACATTTCGCAGAGCGAGGAGAGCACGTGCATCAGTTCACCATGCAGCAATTGGGCGAGATAGCGCATTTAAATCTGTGTAAAGCGGTTGATTCATGACATCGCTCTAGTACTTTGTGATTTCAGGGATATGTGTTTTCTCTCTCGAATTCCGTTGTAAGTTAGCGTCTGGCTTGTCCGTTTCTTCACCTTCTCCTTCGTATTTCTTACGCCGTTTTAATTTTGGCACGCATCACCAACTCATTCAAATTTATACTCTTCTACGGTTCAGATGACTCATACGAATATTAATTCCTAAAGAACGGCCATAGTTTGATATTAAAACTTAACCAGGCAGTGACATGACTGGTGATTATTATGCTAGCTGGACACGATGAACAACACGCGCCTATGTCTACTTTCCCTCAGAGCTAGAATATTGATCATATCACGCTATTATCTTGTGTTAATAAACCTTCCTCTCTCGTTGCAAACATTGAGCAGTGAACTATGAGAATTAATAACGTCACGGTGTTCTCATCTACGTGCAGCAAAAATTGAGGTCAGTGAACAGATTACCCATATGGGCCTTCTCACGATGTTACCTGTGCGCTTGCCTAAATACGAACGCCTGCCTTTATTGGAAAGAACGTAAAACAATCTGATTTTATCCCAGTTGTATGCTCTGCTACCCAGTGCGAAGCATTCGGAGAATAAAGTTTTCTGGTTGACCTCGACTTCGTATGCGCAGTTTTTATACAATCCAGACGCCTGACAAAATTGTAAAAGGAAACACTTTGCAGCGAATAAAAACTCATAGAAGGTAAAGGCATATATTTATCTTGTGTTATATGAGCCAGTGATTTATGTCTGTTCGTTCTATCCTCGAATGGACTATATGTAGATGCTACGGGCCTCCAGGTTCAATCACGGGTCAGTTAAAAGACTAGTATAAATTTGATGTTGGAATCAGCACTCTGAGACGCGCATTCATTGGACCGGGTGGTTCATAGGTTTTACCTTCAGTCTACGGCAGGGTGAGACGAAGTATCAACGCTTTAGGGTTACCTCAGACGTACAGACTGACCTGCCTCACGACAAACACGAATTGCGTGTCGTTGCAGGTTATCGCTTATAAGGAGTACTTGCCACACGTACTGGGCCCCGAGGTGGTGTCCAGGTATAGGCTGCAAGTGCCCACGGTGCACTACTACTACAACGAGACGCTGAACCCGTCGCTGCTGAACACATACGCGGCGGCGGCCAACCGGTTGCCCCACGCCGTGGTGGGCACCAAGTTCGAGCGCGAGGGCCACAAGTGCTTTCATACGTCGCGCGTGTCCTACGACCTGAACACCATGGACGACTTCTGCAAGCCCCGGACGGACCCCGTCAGGTCGCTGGTCGTGGGCGCCGCCTGCAAACACCTCCAGCACCAGGACACCGTGTACAGCAAGGAGGTGAGCGGCTTTTGGGTGGCTTTCTTGCTGGAGACTGAGACTAGCGGGCGGAGGTATACGGCTATCTGCTCCCTCATCTCTCTGTGGAGCCCGAGGTGCCTTTGCGTTGAGCCGGATTTATTAAATATGTCTTCACACAGACTAGGTGCCACCGTTTTTCTCACGATCATGCCTCTTGTCTTTTGAAACGGGAAAGGCGTTTTTTGGCCTTGCATTTCCCCGTACCAGGAGCATGGTACGGGGCAATGGCGGTTGATGTGACGTAAATGGCAAGCCATGTAGAGACCTTTGTAAAAATAGCTCTCTGGCCGCCGCCAGTTTGCGACTCGGGCGACCTTTATCAGCCAGAAAATTCTCCCACCCGCCTCTGCTGTGGAAACCCAGTCAGCGCGACTCCTCACTTGCATTGAGCATTCAAAGTTCTCCGGCTTTTCTTGAAAGTGTTTACTTTTTTTGCCTGTTCAGGATGCTTACCCTTTCTGCCTTATCTTCCACTGTGAGAACCAGGGAATACCAGGGCTCGTAGCCTGCTCGGCCTTCGCAGGAAACAAACGAAAAGAGCAAACGCCAAGCAGCCCGCGACACAGGCCGTTCGACGTCCTTCGAGGATTATTATGTCGAGATAAACTCCTGAAATTCTCCCCGGCTATGTTTCCGGTCTTGGCTAAATATAGCTGATAAACTCAGCGCTATGGGGACGGAATCGACACATTCGTTCATTTGCTTTGGTGTTGTGCAAAAGAGCAGCTCTCTTCAGAACGTGCCCAAAGACAAGCCGTATTCTGTTTGAACGTCGTGAAGTGACTTGTCGACACTGTATATGGCATATGCTGTGTTATTTGAGATTTTTCTCAAATAAATACTGTTTGGATAATGCTGCACCGTGTGAACCACGTTTAAAAAAAAATGAAACAGCTAGTCTGTTTCATTTTTGTTGCGCCAGCACTCGGCCGACACTCGTGTTATCACTGATTAGACACGCGCCAAACACTCATGTCCGGTCTCTGGCCTGAACAGGCCCTCGGCAAGGGACGTGGCAAATGAAGCACTGCTGCTTAGTAAAAAATGCAGGACGGGGCCAGTCCCGATCGCCTTGTTCGGTCCACGCCCAACGGGATCATGGCATTAGGCGACAAGAATGTCTGAGAACGAATAACGAAACAAAAAGCGTTCACACAATAGGCCACGCCCAGGGTTTGTTGAGTCGCATGCGTGACGAGCTGTTGGACGCACGGGACGTCTCCGGGAGCGACTGACTTCGGACGACGGCTCGAGCAGATCACTCGGTTCCTGTTCTCCAACCCCCCGAACCTGCTGGGCAAGGACCTGCTGTCCCTGGACGTGGACCGTGGCCGAGACCACGGCCTGCCCCCGTACGTGCACTACCGCAAGCTGTGCGGGCTAAGGCCCGTCTACTCCTTCGACGACTTCAAGAAGGAGAGCAAGTCGTACGACGCCGTCAACAGGCTACAGGCCGTTTACGGGTACGTATAGGGCCTTGCTTTTCGCTCCCTCTGTACAGGACGCGCCGGGAGAGAAGGAGCAAAAATGGCAACGAGAAGACGCGTGTAACTTCTTCGACTAGAGACCGTTAAGGGTTAAGGAAAGCAGGGCAAGCTCCTCCCACAAAGCTCTCTGCTCACCACGACTGGTGGTTTCCTCCTTTCCACTTCTTTCTTCTCCCGAGTTCGCTCTGCTAGAGTTCGGGGCTTGTCTCGCTTTTGTTCAGCCTGTAACAGACTAGCAACACGGTTTTTTTGAGTATCGAGTTGGTTCGGGCACCTGATGGATATAACATTTCGTGTTACCTGCGCAGCTGATTTGGAGATTTACTTTTTTCAAAGTGGTGTTAACGAGGAGACAGATACATTACTTTCGATACTCATGGGCGATTTCACTTTAAGTTGTGCAGGAAAACAAACAAGGGGTGACAAATTAGGCTTTCCCGGTGTTCACTGGTCATGACTTTGTTGCATTAACGATCAATCCTAAACTGCTAGGCTCTGGGTATTTCAATAAAACTTTATGCATACGGTGCTTACGTTTTTTATTTTTAATATGAAATAAACGAGAGTTGCTAAGTTAAACAAAATAGGCCAGATAACTTATTTTATAAGCAAAAAAACTGTGAGTATCTTTAAACGATCAACAGAACTGCGTAAAAGAAGAAGAACCTCAATATGAGATAAAACTTTATTTCCACGTATTCTCTTACAGTCGAGAAGTCAGAGAATCTGAGTTGTCACAAAATCGCCACCCCTCCTGATTTTGATTTGGATGGGCATCGTACCGGCGAGCGGTAGTGCACCACTACTGCGTGACGCGCGATAAAAAAACCAAGACGAGCAGCGATACTGCAGTGATTACATTATTCATCTACAGCGAAGCCACTAGACACCCATTGGGGCTAACTTCCCGTTGTCTAAACATACACGAAACAAACTTACTATTGATAGAAGCTCGAAATAATGAGGGCGTGAAGTTACTATAGCCGGTGATAGTTCAAGGCTTCGGTGACCTATAAACGTAGAAGGTACTCGTATCACTCCACCATCAACTTGTTTTCGCGTAACGACTTTAAACAAAACATCTCCGGCGAACTCTGGATGGTCGCTGATTTCACTTCAAATTTACTCAAAACACAAATAGACGCGGCTGAGCTAGTAGCCTTTTTTCCCGAAGTATTTAATTTTGAAACTTGGCCCTCGCCTATTTTTTAGTCTTAATATATATTCTGGCAGCACTAAAAAGTAATGACAGTGAATGCGCAGGCGAGCTGGTGATAGTCAATCATGATTTTTAAAACCCAAGACTGAGGTGAGGAAAAAATATTAAACTTCGAAGTCTAAGAAAAAAGGTAGAGGAGAAGACGTCGCTTTCTTCGACTTTAAAGGTTCCTATTTATTCCCTCACTTCAGTCTCAGGTTTTAATCATCACGATTAACTAAAAAGTGACGATATATATACTGATGAACAATGTCAGCAGTATAACTTGTTGTTTTCGCATTTCAAGAAATTTGAAGATGGAAAATGAAGGCCGTAGAAGCTCTCCTTACCGAGAAAACCCAGTATAACTTTCGCTATCTGAATTATGGAACCGGAAATCTATCTGGATTCAATCTAGATTTCAAGTTTTCAGAATTTTTTTTTGTCTGCAATCTGGATTCCAGGTTTCCAGAAAGAATTCCAGTTAAATTTCCAGTTACATATCGCTGGTCAGAAAAAAATCAATTTAAGATACGCTCTGCTTTTTAAACTATCTGATCGGCTAGCAAGTTTTCCAACGTATAACGTAACACCACTGAAAAACGCGAAGAAATATGCATTTTCAGTTTTGGCGTCGCCTTCGCCTTCCATTTTCTCAATATATATTTGGAATCCAGTGATACCAAATAGTATTCCGGGAGGAGTAAAAAGTGGGAATTAAAAAATAAAGTTATATTTATTTACTAAAGATAACTACCGGAGAGCGATCTTCTTTCAGCACGGCAGCGACCGTCTAGCAGCTATCGCAACAAGATTGTTTCTTAAGCCGTCCTAGTATGTACTCTTTCTTTTCCTGAATTGGATTTTGAGCTCCGGCTCAGATAATAAATTATACCCCAAACTCTCAAAATGTAGGGAGCACGCAGGAAGTATAGTTACAAGTTCCGCACGTGCTCACCTGGTATGTAGAAATTATTCAAAGAACGTAACTAAATTAAGACAATGGCAAATGCAGTTGCAAAATCTCCATTTGCTTAAAATAACTGCTGCGCACGTCAGCAAGTGTAGATCATGTAACTACTCTCTTAAGAATGCCTGCGTATCTACTTACCGGCAAAACACTCGAAGAGCCAATCTCTCTGATCAACGGAATCAGTTCAGCGCATAATGATGAGGCGGAACATCTCTTTAGACCTCAAAATTAAGTCTGCGCTGTGGCATTACGTAATGCAAGCATGACGCTTTGCATTGCGTAGTGCCACAGCGCAGACTTCATTTTAGGTCTGTACAGATGTTCCGCCTCATCATTAGCTGAGCTGATTTCGTAAATAGGAGAGATTGGCTCTGAGTTTTTTGCGGGTAAGTAGACGCACAAGCAATTTTTAGAATGTACAAACTCGGCACACTCTTTTCTGTACAAGTAATCTTATAAATGGTATCTTGGTCGAGCTGAACTAGATCAAGTCTTGCTATGCATTATTTTAAACACAGACTGGGTTATATAGCTGGCGCAGCCTGGGGTGTGGCACTATTGCAATGGAAGACCGTTACACGAGTGCTGCGTCCGGTTGCAACTCGGCTCCTCACTGATCACGAGCCCCGGCAGAATCCTCACGTAAAACTGGTCATCTCTGCTTTATCCTCCGGTGGTGTTCTAAAGGAACTCCAGCGCTACGGCTTCGTTAGTGCCCATTGAAACAGCAGCGTCTGACTACCTTATGTGGGCCGTATTCCAAACCTTACTCAACTATATACGAGTTATTTTCGCAGGTCATATCACGTGATGATACGGATGTAGTGATGTTTGACGCTGGTAGGGTTTCGTATGCCAACATTCAAAAGCTCTTTCCTTTGGCGTGAGATCAAGCAACTTTGGAACACGGCTCAAGTGCTCTCGAGTGAGCGGCACTTTCGTGCTTCGTCGTTGCGTGTCAATCTACTTCTTGAATTGGTTGCCAATCTTCCCCATAAGCTCGAACCTCCCGGTGATTCGCGGTACTAGATCGGCGGAAGTCCTGATTACGTCATAGCCAAGCATAGTGAAACGTGTTTTTATAAAAAAAAAAGTGTTGAGTTATTGAGCTCGTTCATGTAGTGCGAAAGTATGCAGTAGCCGAGGGCGATGAGAACAATCACCACCTTCTTCCGGATGGAAGAGGAGTTGCGAAATAACAGGGCAAACGTTGGGGTGCGCAACTGCAAGAGAGGCGAACTTTGCGTCCTTTTCCCGGTGGAGCCCTGTATCTTCGGAAGGGCTACTTAAGGAGACCCTATGCACGACAATGTTCCCGTCGAGGAGGGGTGCGTGCATCAACCTAGAACGAGCACTCGAGCCGCCTCATTGCAACTGTTCCCTACTATACTTGTGAAACAGTGAGGCAGATGTTAGTTATCAAATCGGTGCACCCAACAACTCACGTTGAGTGTTCAGGTCAGAACTGCGTGGCGATTAAAAAAAGCAGACTTCGCGAACCATGGTGGAAATTACATGGGTAACACTAAGAAAAAACCTTTTTGATAATGCGCAGTGTAGAAGCAATATAAAATTTTAACTTTAATATATTCGTACGTTTCCTGTCATGTTACCAGCAGGTCTAGGGCACACTCGTACACTTTTAGTAACTGTGCTTAATTGACAGCATTTATGGGCACATGCCATTAGTACATTTATCGATGCAAGCAAACAAATAAAACAAATAAAGATTCCTTTATGCACTATTGCTAAAACGCAATCGCACGAGAAAAATTAATGCAGAACGTTGTGAGGTCAGAACCATCAGCAGTGTTACCAGATGTGAAAAACGTGTTTTATTTGACGAGCAGCCGTGCAGGAGTAAGTGAGATATACTGTTTCATTGGGTATTTACACTCACAGATATACGTGCATAAACAATGGTGTGCACTTCGTCTTCTCGCTGCACCCAGCTTATTTCAGAGTGTTGATTTTATTTCACGCTGACTATATTCCCCCATAGCACCATCTATTTTCCTCTCCTTCTTCACGCTGGTTTTTATTCCACACCTGCCTAAGCAATTAATCTTGCATTGTCGATATTACTGCTTTCAAAAAGCAACCCCACTTCCACTTTTCGGTGTAAACTGGCCAATTTGGTAAAGGAGTTTGCGTGTGTGAAAGGCGGAAACATTGCGGCGTTAAGTGTTGGATCATTGATATGGGGACGGAGCGTACTTGGCGTGTTCTGAACGGATTCGTCTGTCACAAGAAAATATTCTACTTTACAAACAACACAGCGCTTCGTAATCAAAGGCGTGCACACGTTACAAAGGCGTATACTCGTTGGTAGTGTAATGAGAACAAAACAAAAAACCAAAACATATTTAAGTTCTGCAAAATTAAATGTTCTGTAAATGGAAGAGTAGATTACAGATCGTTTGATTTTGAATTCTTTAAAATGCGTACATTTCTTGCTAGTTCCCAAGGTAGGCTGTAATGGTCATTAAAGAAAAGTACACTTCCCAGTTCGACGGCAGAGCGTTGTTGGCATATTTTGATTTGAGCTATTGATTACCAAAATTTTCAAACGTAGAAGTTAAAAAAATACAAAAGCTTGATAATGCTGAAAAAGGCCAGGGAGCACATAATGTGCTGAGCGCAAACAGCAGCGTGCTCTACAAACGGGGTACTTTTCTATTGCTTGGGACGTAAATCCCCCTCTTAGAGGTAATTTTCCACGGAACGCAAGCGTGACGTAAAGCTTACTTTCGTGGCTGCTCCTTCCTAATCCACTACTTCCACGGTTGCTTTCCGAGCACCTGAGTGGCTTAGCTTAGTTGGTATGACATCCGCTAAGAATCCCCTCGGTCACTCTTTTGATTCTTGGTGGGGTGTCCCTTCTTATTTCCGTTTTAAAGGGGCACCACAGGCTAATACCGGGTGTTTCCGCGTATAATCTTTAACATCCCATAAATAGAGTCTGAGAAAAACACTTCTTTTAGAACAAACTTCTAGTTACGGCGGACGTCAGGGATTGAAAAAAAAAAACATACTACTTAGCAAAACAATTTCCTAAACTTGACTAAACTTTCTAATTTGTAAATATTTACATGCGGTTTGAATTCGCAATTAGCTGAGCGTAAGTGAAAACATTTAGATCAGTCAATTTTAGGACCACCTCAAACACGTGACAAGCGCGGGCCTGCGCTGAAGTTAAAACTCATGCAGCAGGCACAAGGCTGGCGATGCGAGAACGAGGATGATAAAAATATCATCCGACACTCTGACGTCACATAGCATGGGACGTCAGAGGTGTTATGGTGTCGCGTGATGTCAAGAGAACATTCGAATGTTCTCTTGACATCACGCAACACCATGACACCCCGTGACACTGCGACTTCACGAGACATTGTGACGTAAGAGTATCACATTACGGCGTGGTGCCACGTGACGTCACTATTCATCATGACGTTTTTTTTATGAATGTTCTTCGTGACGATTCTTCAAGACGGTGCTTCATGACGGTTTACTCCGAAATCAGCGGATAAAACATACTCTTTGTTAAAATAAAGCTTAGGTGATGGATCTGAGGGAGGGTTTTCCGTATTGTGTGTTACTGCAGCAACCACTTTGAGGACTTGGACCTGGTGGCCGGTCTCGCCTTGGAAAAACCAGTTCTTGGCTCGTTCTACGGTCCCACGGCAGTGTGCATCATGGGCGAGCAGTACTACAGGCTGAAGTACGCCGATCGCTTCTGGTTCGAGCACCTCTACCACCCGGGGGCATTTAGCAAGGGTAAGCTATGATCTTTTTGACATTGCCGTGTCATCCTTCTCGCCTAGTCGCGCCCGACTTGGTAGTATTGAAAGAAGTTTTACAGAGTCAAGAACGTCAGTATAGGCAGTCGATTTCTCGCACTGTTTCCTCTCACATATGGCTTCTATGCGTGCGAATAGACGTGTAAATTTCTTCAACATGTTTTAATAAGCTTGGTTGTGAACTGTTGAAAACTGTTCCTGTGTGCTATTACTAATATCACAAAAGCTAAGCAAAAGGGAGGGACGAGCACAGACAGGTATGTCAACATGCTCGTCCAAATCTCTGTACCATTAACTTCCCACAGAAATATAAAGCCCATTATTTTCTAGATTTGCTTTGTACTGGAACATCAAGAACATTCTTCTTGAAAAAGCTGATATTGGAAAATTATTAATTAAGAATCTATGCTTGGTCAATCATGTAATGCGGCTCGCTTCATTTTGCTCCCAACCTTGTTTTGGCTATAATAATACCCCTTGGCAATAATTGCCCATGGTACTGCGGAATAACCAAAAAATAAAGAAATACATAGAAACAAAATAAAGCAATCAAACTAAGTGTGCGCTTAGGCAGAATCTTAACTGATTTAATAATGTGATATTCAGGCAGTGCCATCATGCTATGTTTAAGTTCAGGTACCATAACCATATTTAGAATTGTTTCTTGATTGCTGATTTTTCGTACTGCAAGCCAAGAAGAATAAAATCTGCACGTTATCACTCCAGAGTACGCGTGCGGAAGTAAGATGCGCTATTTTAATCGCGATTTTAGATTAAAGCTTAAGTTCTGAAAACATTCGACAGTCATAAATTAAATTTATGAGCGTCGACGGTCATAAATTAAATGTTGTGTGAGGCGTCCCGATCCCATGATCCCAGAAATGAAAAGCAGGTGTAAGCGCGTCTAACGAGGTTGCCAAGACAAATCAAAAGAAAGCAGGATAAATGTCAGAAAAAAGCTTACGTAATAAGGAAACGAAAATTCGTCCAAACCAAATTCAGTTGAAAGTCCTGGCGGCCAAAAAACCTTTGCTGTGTAGCCTTGGGCTGAGGTTTGTGCTATGCATCGGCATAAATTAATTTGCATCTTGCTACCAGACACCGCCGTTTAAAGACCGATATAAAACCTAGGTTTTAAGCAGGGCGAATATTCGTATAGCCGTCTAACCTTCCCATCTTGAGCATGGGAAGGAAAACTGTTACAAAGAAGGCAATGCTTCACGTTCTCTAACGAAATCAAACTCCTGGCAGACGAAGGATGGAGTCGATAATATATATATAAGAGAAGAAAGCAAACAAAAAAAAAGTGAAAAGTGGAAGTGCACGTAATTCTTTGTGAGCACAGAAATGTTCACGAAGGGGACCATGATTTCGAAGTTCTTAAATATGTTCTAGAAGCCCTTATTTCAAATGGCGAATAATATCTGGCAGAGATTATTTTTTCTGGAGTTGAATGTTTCTATTGAAGTCCCTGCCAGTGGCACATCATGTAATCAGAGCATCCGTTTTCACAGTTAAACTTCCCTTCATAACAAATAATGAGAATGTATACATGGGCATACGAATGTCGTTACAAACATTCATGGTACCACAACAGTTGTAGCGCTTTTCTGGAACGCGTTGTTTGTCGGGCATGACACTATTTGAATCGGGGCAACATACCTGTTTTTACTGGGATGTTTGTCGCAAGGTCGCTTGACAAAAATGCTTAAAGAAGAGTGTTTTGCAAAGGTGATTTAGCGCCAATTCGTGTAATGTTGGGGTCACCACAGACCCCAACATTCTCAGTGCTCCGTTCAAATATCTGCAATTTTATGACACCTGCTTTGTTTTCTGTTCGGCTTCTCAATTTTCATATTATTTATCGCCCATTAAAAGGGGTAATAAAACGATACTAGTTTGGTTTTTATGCGTTTTAAAAAAGAACCGGACATAAGCGATATAGACGTATGCTGGCAAACAGCAGTACTCAGCCAGAAGCGTTTTTCCTTGAGATGCGAATTTAAGAAATAAATACTCGGCGTCTATCTAGGGTGGGACTAAAATTTGAGCTTATTTATGGAACAGATCAGGGGTGGGCGGCTCTTCACCTGTTAAAGTGCGGCTCGAGGCTCCCCCCCTACCCCCCCCCCCCCCCCCCCCCCCCCCGTTCTTCTCCAAAAAGAGAAATGGAACGCGTTTTAAATCGAAAGACAGGTTGCAGTTTGATAGTGTTGTGCTACTGCTACCTTACGTGCAGTGACTGCTTTTGACTCGGATAGATTGAAATTAGTTCGAGTTTAGTTTATTACTCTGGACAAAAGTTTGCGCACCCCCCCGCGGCTCTTGGAGGGTTCGTGGCTTTGTTTGCGGCTCTTAGGCCGGGTCAGCCTGGCCACCCCTGGAATAGATAGATCCGGTCTCTCCTTTTAGTTCTTTTTTGCGAAGGTTCTAGACGTGATGATGGAGATCGGAATGTTTACGCAAGCACGGAGTTTACCAGAGTTGCAGTATGAAATGCCGATCTTGGATTGAATATGTTCACTGCGTGAGGCTCAACTTGGGATCCGTCTCAGTCAATGTTTCGGCGGACATGCTGTGACGGAAACAGCCTAAAAAAGTCAAAATCTAGGAAGAAAAAAGAATACATGTTTGCAATCGTGGTGATTCGAAACATAATAAGACGACAATGATTGAATATCAGAGGAATAAAAAGGTCGGCTGGACGGATGTGACTAGTTTATTCTTATTTCAAAGTGCTACTGTCCTCAGCCTATGACTGAGTTTACATCAATACGACCGTAGCGCATGATATGAGAAGGTACAAATCACATTCGTCCAGCTCAAGTTTACATGAATATGATCGTAGCACATCGAACTGAGACAAAATCGATTCCATCCGCCCAGTCCCCATTCTTTATTTCTCCTCTACCTAGAATCACGCTCGTTAAGTTTGGACTGGATGCGTTACGATCACATCCATATACACCTATTAACTGTACACCTTATCGAATCTTCATGAAGGATGGAATGCACGTGATTGGTTCCCTCTCTTTTTGGTGCTCTTTGGTAGTTTCCATGAAAACATAGCTCATGTGGAACAGACCATTGCTCCAGGCACAGCACGTGTTATATGTGTTGCCAACCTATGCGAGTGGTTATGATAAACACTTGCAACAGGGACAGGCAGCAGATAACGTGGCCGATTTTTCCGACTGCGAGTGGAGGGTCCGCATAAATTCAGCGGAACATTTTTTTTTTTGTTCTAAGACCGAACTGAGATTTTGTATAAACAGAGTGTGATAAACCTATCAGAACAGCATCAAATAATATGCTCGAGTTCCTTGAAAAAAGTAGACAAAACTGATATAGATAAATTATATACATTGTTATCACAAACACTTCTGCTTATTCAATTAAAAAAAAACTATCCACGTGACCACAAACAATTGACAGTGTGCAAGACATCGCGTAAATATATAACAAGAGTAACTTTAAATGGTTTATTTGAATGCTGTTAATATTCATCATTTTGCTGTTTATAAAACCTACGAATATCCGAAACGCTTCATGTTCACTTTTTTTAATCAAGAAAATACTTCGACTACTTTTTCGATAAGTACCACCCACGGCTATTACACAGATGGACAATTCGAAGCCAGGATAACAAAATCAAAATTAAAACACTCTGCGACCGAGACTCCAAACAATTAATCTCATCCATTTGAAGCTCTCCCATGCAACTGTTTTCTTCCGCGCTATAAAACCTTGTCTACAGATCCACATGGTATTTGTACGTTTCCTTGAAGACGCACGGAACGGATTTCTGTGCTATTCGCACTTTGCCCTCCATTCAAATGTTAAATTATTGCGATATGCTTTTGTTTATTACAAATTTGCGTATTTTTTAGTAAAAAGCTTTAGATAAATATTTTTTTTTTTCGTTATTCTTTTGAAGTAAAATGTGCAATTGGAGGCTTTCCAATTTGTTTGATGTAGTAACTACGTTACATGAAGACCGACTATGATATATTTTATTTAACTACTTAAATCATTGCCTTGCACCCAACAAAAATCATCCGTTCTTGGAAGGTTATTCGACTCCCCAAGAACTTTTTCAGCTTGTGAAGAACGGTTTACCTCAAGCACTATCGACATCTGGCGCATTAAAAAGGCAACAGGGCGATGAAGAACTTTTTTTGCATCAAAAGAGGATCTTAGAAGAACCCTTTATAGGCTTTTCACGAAGGAGCTTTTTAGGGGGTGCTTAAAATAACTTTTTAGGGGGCAAAATATGGCTAAGCCTAAGAACCCCTAAGAGTTCTTTTACTACCAGATTTTTTGTAGAGTGTTGGCATACTCGATGCCTTTTTGGAAGGTAACTGGCGTCCAATATATGTGTAGTTGCAATTTTGTTTCTAAACAACAATAAGCTTTGCTCAAATATATGCTGATAAACGAACACGTTTTGTTTGAGTCAAGTTCTAAAGCATCGAAACCACAAAAACAAAAGTTGTTGTATGATCACTTGCGTGAATTCAAGTAGTGCCAGCAGCATCGGATAGAACTATAATGCAGACTAAACCGAAGCCTCACCCCACACGGTTTAATACGTTAACACGCATGTCTACTTCTAAAGCCCCTAAAGAAAGCATCCAGCACCATCTGTTGATTGAGAGTCACAACCTTTGACAAAGGATCTTATTTATATCCTAGCACAACATCTATAAAAATCGGAAATTTTCGTTTTGATTACCGACAATTCTTGCCGATATAGCATGTGTATACTGTACTTGGACACCGGATAAGTGTTTTGTTTCTTTCCTTTGCAGACCAAGTACGTGACATTCTCAAGGTCAGTATGGCCACTCTAATCTGCAGGAACACGGACGTGGAGTTCCTACAACGCAACGTCTTCAAGATGTCGGGGTGAGTGTGCGCGATATACGACTTCACTGCCTAGTCGGACCATTGATGGGTCGGGAGCCGATCCTGCACATGGCCCAAGTAAATGTGCCGATTCCGATAGACCATTCTAATAATCGTCTTCTGCGGACGCAAAAGACGATTATTTGTCTTTGTCTACGGCCTTTGGACGGCGTACTGCGCTCTCTTCTGCGGAATATCAGATGCCGCACAAGTGACCCCAGCCCAGTAAGTCATCATTTTCCCCTGGGTGATAAGCTCCAGAAATGTGTGCACGATGAGGAACTCGGGCAGAGGAGGAAATGCGTGGGTACATCGAAGCACTGAGCTCTAAATCGTACGAATATTAGGAAGACGCAAAAGGACCTTTGCTCTGCTCCCGTTTGAACGCTTCCCAACCGACCAGCATCGGCAGTTTTCGGCGTTCGAATGCGTTTGCACAAAGACTAGAGACGATATAATATGTAACTAGAGGTTCAGCTGGCGCTAGTGGGCAGCAGCTTTGTTTGCAGTTTATGACTTGTACCCTTTTGATTGAGTGTTTTGTGTTTAATACTTAATCATTTTTTGTAGACTATTGATATTATTATTTAATTTTTTGCAGGAAAGGCAACTCCAAAGTGAACTGCAAAGCTATCCTCGCCGAAACTGACTACAACTACGATTTGTACAAGTAACCATCGAGGACGGAATCCAGAGACGTTTGCAGCGGGGAGTTGCCGAAATACGTCGTCTCGAGATTTGGCTATTTCCGTATTCTCGTACTATTACTTTTCATTAGAAATATGAATTACTACTTACTGCATTGATAACCTGATCAAAATCATCTAGCTGCAAGCAAATCAAGTAATTGCCGGGATGTTTATTATCTGAAAGGTGTCAAATAAATTGAGTATTCACACTACCGGAGTTGTGTCTTCGGAGACGAAATACAGAGGAAGAGAAATATATATTCTCTTTTCTCACTAAACATTAACGCCAATGCTTAGTAAACCTTTCGCCACCTACGTAGTGTGCCAAGATGATTAATGGAAAGTTGAAGCAGTTTTCAAAAACTTTGAGTTAGGAGCGGATTTCTATAGCTCTTTGTCCCGTGAATTTAGTAATCGCACGTACCTTGGGGAGAAGTAAACGTATGCCGCATTTCTTTCGACAAATGCGTGCTGCGATTGCCGCCGGGCATGCGACGATCCTCTATGCCGCCTGCTATCTGTCCGGGGCGTCGTGACATCATCTCCGAGCCAGCTTAGTGACGAGCAAGGGTACCCCGCGGATGACGCCACTTTTGCTAGTTCTTAATGCGAGAGCATTAACTGTCCCATGGAGCGAGCCGACGTCATCAGCTCTGAAGCCGCGTCAAACGGCACCTAAACTCCTTTCTCCAAGTGAAGCCACGCTCTGATGGCTCCCAGCTTTGAAGCCGCGCGGAAAGCCTAACCATACGACACCTAGTTTCCCCGCTCTCAATAGAGCGCAGTGAATTGAGAGCGGGGATTTCGGCTTCGAAATCTGAACATGAGATTTCGAAGCCGAAATATGATGGATTTCGGCTTCGGTCCCATTGGCTGGCGTGCGTCATAGTTTCAAGGAACAAGGTTCCCATTGGCCGCTGAGCGTCAGTTTTAACGACCGCCTACCCATAGCGCTGCATGTCAGCGCCTCCAGTGCGCCGGTAATACGAAGCGTCTGGCCGTCGAGCGAGGCAGCGGCTCCACTGCCGAGGTCAGCGTGGCAAGGAGAGCGCGCGCTCGGCCGTCCACGACGACGCAGACGAAATAAGGGAGCGGAAGAACGACATTTCGCATTCATAACTCGTAAGTTCTTAGGTGCACCTCGAGCCTTTTCTTTCCGCTCTTGCGATTTCCTACCCTCGGCGAGCCGCAGCGGGCGGGTCTGCGTCGAAATTTTAATTAGTTATTACAACGCCTCTACTCTTAAGGTCGAAAAAAAAAATTAAGACACATTATTTTAAGGTGTCTACATTTCAAATTTTATTCTTTGCTCGAACTCAATGACCTCTTCAGCTTCCCTTTAGGCAATCCGCAGGTTAGTCCTCCAGCTTATCAATAATTGCACGTCCTAGCTTTCTTTGAAGCAAAAGACCTTTCTGGATTCGGACTTTGTAAGGAGAGGTGTAGTTTAGCTCACGGGGGGGGGGGGGGGGGGGGGGGGGGGGGGAAGAAGGGGGGGATTTTATGGTGAGAGTGTGATGCCATATCTAGATTTTTAAAGTTCTTTCTGTATTTTCTTTACAACAAAGAACCATATAGTGAAGGGTGAGGGCTATTGACTGGTATTGAGGCCGCCTTTTATAAATATTGTGTTGATCTTGTCTGCGCACGCTTAACCAAATACGTCTAGGCTTCGTAAAGTGCTAAATGATTAATAACTAACAGAGTAATCTAACTCGCCAATTATAATTAAAACATGTACAGGTAATATTGCACTTTGTTTGTGCAATAAAGCATTACTATATTTGAAAGGTACAAGTTCTAAGTTAAGGGAAAAGAAACGTGATTGAATTGAGCAGACGCGTTATAAAGCGCCAATGGTACGATATTTTGTTAAAATTTTACTGAGTGCATGTTCGTAATGAGGAAAACTGCAATGAGAAGGAAGACCAAAAACGTCATTTTGTACCAAAACTAAAAACAAAAAGCACGAGCAATTTTTTTTTTTTTTTTTTTTTAGAATGCTTGCTTGTTTTGTCTCCCTTTCCAGTACTTACCAACCGGGCTAAAAATGCCACCGGGCTGTGAACGAATGAGCGGGGCTGATGCCTTCCGCAGAAGACGGCAACTGCGCGTGCTCAGAATGCCTTCCACAGCCCAGTTGATGACGCAGATGGTTGAACACAGAAGGTGGTTATTAGAAGTAGTATTTATAGTTCCGCACTCTGCATCCAAACGGGGCCGGGAGTGTCACGTCTGAATGCAGCTTACACCATCAGCGCACTACCAAGCACCTTGTCCGCCAATATTCGGGTTTGTATTCGAGGCTCTTGCAAAATCGAAGGGTTAGTAGCGTAGTGCCGCGCAAAACATCTTGGGTATATTTTGCCTACTGTTTTGGTTTAGATTTACCAACCTCAATTCACAACATCCTGTCACAACCAAATACAGTGCATGCATTTTCAAACATGTGACTTTCATTCAATGTATGGTGTTGCCTATCAGCACGGATAGAATACTGGAGCACGTTATTTGGGGCTCCCGACGTACCAGAGTTTGTGCGCCGGTTATACAAAGGAAGAATTGTACTGGGCCGATCATCCTGTTTCATCGCCTTAATGTCTTAGGCTTCTTAAATTATCAGTGGACCGGGAAAACGTGTTGCCTCCTTCGAGTCGGTACAATGTCGCGCTGCCTACCTTATTATGAGACACCAACTCTTCCCCCGAACACCATCCTATCGAGAACTGCACACTAGGGATCTCCTCCATTCAGTCGGCTGGGACCCGCTTCAACTTCGGCGTCAAGTAGCAACCACGCGACAACTAGCCACTTTTCTGCTACCGGACTCCTCTCTCCCTCTTTCCTCTTCCCTGCGGCGTACCCGCACTGGTGGTAGCAGCCCCTTTTAACCCGTACGCTTCGGCACTCGCACTCCTTCGTACCCCGTGCGGTGAAACTTTGAAGTTCCCTCCCGGCGCCAATCATTAGTTCACCACCAGTCGACAGTGCCTCACTATGAACATTTACCAAGAGCGAGCCCACCCGCGGAGCATCTAACTCGATTTGTGTTCTCCCACAGAACTTACTTCTTCCACTATGTACCGGTTCTAGTTATTTATTATTTTTCCTCTCTTTTTCTGCCATAGAGGCACTATGGACCCCTTGGTATGGGCGTAATGCCCGCTCACAGTTGCCTTACCCTCCCGGGTTGAACCAACAAACAAACAAACAAACAAACAACATCTTTCTAACTGGGACAGTTGTGGCAAATCGCACGGATGGGGCTGCGCTCACATTCCCCAAAGACAAGGAGATGGGCAGAGGAACTTCTGTGCAGAAAGTAAGAGAAGACGGTAAACTATGCTTGGTAAAGTGGAAGGACAACAAGTCCGTCTTTATGATGTCCTCAGCTTTTGGAATTCACCCAGAAGGTACTTGTAAAAGGTGGTCAAAGGAGGAGCACAAGAAAGTCGACTTTGCCCGACCTGCCGTCGTTGCTCAATACAATATCAACATGGGAGACAGCGACCTCATGGACAGGTACATTTCGTACTACCGGATATAGCTTCACAATAAGAAGGGGACAATCCGTCTTTTCGCCCAATTCTTGGACATGGCAGCATGCAATGCGTGGATGCAGTACCTGAGTGACTTTGAATTAGGGAACAGAAAGGGAAAGAAGCTCAGCTTAATTGATATTAAAGCTGACGTTGCAGGAACTCTCATAAGAGCGAAAAGCTCATGTCAAGTTCGTGCTGAAAGTGCCTGGAGCTCTGCTACAGGTGGACAGAGAAATACCAGAAAACCTGTTTCAATACCGAACAGTGACGTCAGGTTAGATGGATTCAGGCATTTCCCTGACCATAGGAAACTAAGGAATTCATTGAAATGTAGAAACTTCGACTGTGCGGAAAGACCAGGGTCAGGTGAACGAAGTGCAACATATTTTTGTGCCCTCTAAACAAAAATTGTTCTCTTAACTTTCATACAAAGTGACTACCCAGGAACTCAACTGAGTACCAACATTTTTCTAAATAATAATTTTCAATATGTTATCTAAGAACATATTTTTATGGTCAGTGGATATGTCTGAATAAAGAAACACTGTTTTTATTGCAATCACAACGCCATTTTTGCCTCGTTAGTGAAGAGGATTATTTACCGCTGGGGCAACACCTGGGCGGAGAATGAGTGTACGGTGCTGCGCTATTTTCGCAGTAAAACAAAAAAAAATATTTTGAGGTTTACCCTGTACTTGAAGTAAAGTACTATAAATACAATGCACTTTCAAACTTTCTAGCGCGATATTTTATAATTCCCTTTAAATCTCATATAGTGTGTTTTTTTAACTGCTGGTATGCATTGTTCTTGGAGTAATCGGGGGTGCATCAATTGTTTCTGGAAATGACGGCGAATAAACGCACAAAGGCGATTAGTGCCGTGACGATAAGTTTTTGGCGCTGTTGCATTGTCGTAATCAGATTGTAGTGTCATTTGCGGTCGAACTTAGAGTGAAACGGAGTAGAGCAGCACACTGCCAAGTACGAAAATTAATTCGTTAGGTGGAGAACGATTGGAGGCAAGTGCTCGTGGTGTGATATAAAACGTTTGGGGAGGGGGGAAAGGGGGGGGGGGGGTCACTTCTTGCTGAAGTCTTGCCTTGTCCGCGACTCGCTGTCGTATACCGTAAATGCAAATTCAACGTTAGTGAAGTCAGTCTTGTTTAACATGTTTTTATTTCATATAATGAACGCAGAACGCCAGAAAGTTAAGAAATGCCAAAACTAACACGAATATAGACAACCTGCAATACTGTTTGGTTTGGCGTAATCTAACTATTGAAGCGAGAAACAGTATAGTATGCTTGGCAGTGTCGGCTGCATTGTTTAAACGTGGGCTATTAGTTTGGTGGCGTCGCTTAGCCTAGTGTCCGAAGCAAGAAATGCCGGGTAGGCTAGGAATCCCTGAGTGTATACATGCCAGTACGGTGGAAACTACGACCCCAGTGGGCCAGTCAGAACGACGGGACTACGTATCGCCGCAGTGCGCTTTTGACCCCGAAGAAGTGTCAGGCGTTTCCCTGCGTTATGCTCCAATATATATGCTTTGCACTCGTACGCGTAGTGCACATCGCAGCCGTCTAAACGCAATGTAGGACGTAGCGTTTACCATGTGCCAAGTTACAACCAGACAGGATATAACCGTGGGCTCTCACTCTGTTGGTGCTGCG